TGAAGAAGATCATTAAAATTGAGAGGTATATATAGATATATGTATATAGATATAGATATAGATAAGAAAAAAATTTAAAAGCTTTAAAATTTTAAATTCAACAATTCAAAAAGTTCTAAAATTTTAATTATTCAAATTTTTAGATTATATATATATAAAATAATATAGATACATATTAAACAATTAAAAGTTTTAAAATTTTAAATTCAACCACCATAAACAATTTTGGAAACATTTGGCGAGAGGTCAATCAATTAGCGCAGTGCCAATTGAGGAGATTGTTCTAATTGGGAAAAGGAAGGATGCTAGAAGGAGTGTGACTAGTGATGTGGTTATTGAATTGATGGATAAAAGGATTAAATGAAGCTTTGACTCCTAATGAAATGTTTCTTCTTCTATATTGACAGTGGCTGCAGTGCAATCCCATCGACAGCCATGAGTATTTTATGCTGGAATTGCAGAGGGCTTGGGAACCCTCATGCAATTCGACATTTAAAAAGGCTTCTAAAGCTTCAAGTTCCCCAATTAGTGTTTCCCATTGAAACAAAGATGGAAATGGCTGAGTTGCGTGTTAGATGCGGTTTTATTGATTTTTTTCATTGTCCCTTGTGTTAGACAGATTGGTTGCGAGGGGGTTGTGCCTCATGTGGTCTCCAACTATACAGGTATAAGTCTTATCTTCCTTTTAACATCATATTGATTGCTCTATTGATGGGGTGTGGTGCTTTTCTGGTATATATGGTTGGCTTGAGGAGAACTAAAAATATAACACATGGGAATTATTGAGTAGTTTAGGTCCTCTAAATTCATTACCTTGGGTGTGTGGAGGAGATTTTAATGAAATCTTGTATCAATTTGAGAAGGAGGGCGGTAACTTGAAGAATCAAAATAATTTAGGTTATTTTATGGCTACTTTAAATGCTTGTTGGCTTCAAGATCTGGGCTTTTCGGGGTATAAGTTTACGTGGAGTAATGGCCAAGGGGGCTCTAGAAATGTCCAGGAGCATTTGGATAGGTTTGTGTCGAATTAGGCTTGGATGCAGTTATTTTCAAATTCATGGGTTAATCATTTAGTACGGCAAGGGTCTGACCATATCCTATTAAATTATTTTGGCATGCTAAACGAGGAATAAATGGAAACATAGACCATTCAGATTTGAATATATGTGGTTGCGGGAGCAGTCTTGTGTAGATACGATTAGGGAAGCTTGGGATGGCTTATCTTTTTCTAATCAAAGTCCACAGGTTGAGGACTATATTTGTTGATGTGGGATTACTATAAAAAATTGGGATGTCCGATACTTTGGTTCGATTAAGAAGCAGCTTCAGCAAGCTTAAGAAACAATCAAACAACTCCAGGCTGGCCCACAGTCCGAAAGCTCAATTTTTAGCCAAAAAGGTTTGAATGATCATATTAGGGAGCTGCTAAGGAGAGAGGAGGTAATGTGGTCTCAGTGGGCTAGAGTTCAATGGTTGAGGGAAGGTGATCAAACTACATCCTTTTTCCATATGAAAGCAAATCAGAGATAGAGGCGTAACACAATTTTGAAAATTAAAGATGATTTTGATTGTAGGTTTGAGGAGGATGAGGATATTACAAAAAATTTTCTCCACCTCCAATTCATCTGATTTTAATCATGTGCTTGATATAGGAGAGAAAAGTCACTCCAGAGATTATCATAACCTATCCCGTCCTTTCACATGTGAGGAGATATGTTTCGCTTTGAAACAAATGCATCCTTCCAAAGCTCTAGGACCAGACGGTATGCCCCCTTTCTTTTTTTAAAAAAATTTTGGCATATAGTTGGTACAGATGTAGAGAATAAAATTCTGGCTATTCTTAATAATGGGGAACAGCGGGCTTCTTTAAATCATACTTTTATCACTCTTATCCCCAAAATTCTGAATCCCGAGCATACAAAAGATTTTCGACCTATTAGCTTATGTAATGTTATCTTTAAACTTATTACTAAAACCACAGCTAATAGGTTGAAAATAATTCTTCCTTATATTATCCACCCTTCTCAATCTGCTTTTGTTCCAAGCCGTTTGATTATTGATAATGCCCTTATAGCGCTTGAAATCTTTCATTTTTTGAAACTCAAAACAAAAGGTAAGAAAGGGTTCTTTGCACTTAAATTGGACATGAGCAAAGCTTATGACAGGGCCGAGTGGATTTTCTTAGAGAACACCATGTTGAAGATAGGTTTTCATAAGTAATGGGTTGATTTAATTATGAGTTGTGTATCTTCTGTGTCTTACTCATTGCTTATTAACGGAGAACCCCAAGAAGTTTTCTTTCCTTAGAGAGGGCTTCAACAGGGTGATTCTTTATTCTCTTATCTTTTTCAAGCCAGTTGCGAAAAGCAGAAAGGGAGCATAAATTATATGGTATTTCCATTTTTACAAGAGGGCTCCATCCATATCCCATCTTTTCTTTGCGGATGATAGTATCATCTTTGGTAGAGCAAATACAGCTGAAGCGGATGTTCTTTTATATATTTTGGCAAATTATAATCTCACTTCAAGGCAAAAGGTGAATATTGAGAAGTCTGAGATTTCTTTCAGCTGGAATGTTCAATCTAGCATTCAGGAGGCTATAAGATTAAAAATGGGAGTTCGAGGCATTGATCACCAAAATAAGTATTTGGGTTTACCTGCAATAGTCGGGAGAAAGAAGAAGCTAACATATAGCAATTTGATTGATCGGGTTGTGAAAAAACTTAAGAACTGGAAAGAAAAGTCCCTCTCTCGCACATGTAAAGAAATTTTACGTAAATCGGTGATTCAAGCTATCCCTACTTCCACGATGAGTTGCTTCTTGCTTCCTAATGATTTTTGTCATCAAACTGAGACTTCTATGGCTAGATTTTGGTGCGGACAAAGAGACGAAGAAAGGAGAATCCACTGGTGCAAGTGGATCAATTTGTGTAAGGCAAAGCAAGTGGGGGGCATTAGTTTTAGGGATATACAGTGTTTTAATATGGCTATATTGGTAAAATAATGCTAGCATTTGTGTAAAGATGAAAACTCTTCTCTTTCATTTTTTGAAGGCCAAGTATTTCCCTAACTGCACCTTTTTGGAAGCTCAGACTGATTTTAGGCCAAGCTTTATGTGGAGGAGATTGATGAATGCCCGGTGATTGCAAGATACAGGAGCTCGTTGGTTAGTTAGGAATGGCAATAAAATAAGAATATGGAAAGGCAAGTGACTGCCTCATTTGACACTCTCACGGGTTTCGTCCCCTCCATCTCAGCTCGATAAACATTAGTTGGTTGAGGAGTTGATTGATCATCAGAACGAGTGTTGGAATCGAGAGCTTGTTGGATCTCTTTTTTCTCCAGATGAAGCGAGTTTAATTTGTAACATTCCACTCTCTAGGCGATGGGCTAGTGACCAACTGACATGGCCATTGACTAAAAATGGATGTTTTTCAGTCTCATCAGCCTATCACCTTGCCCTTCACTTAAAAATGGCGGAAACTGAAATCGGTCCTCAAGCACTTTCAATTCGGGTCTGTGTAAGTGAATCTGGTGACAAGAAATTCCTCTAAAGGTCCAGCACTTTATTGTCAGAGCTTGCTATGAGTCATTACCGACGGCACTGAACCTCCGGCGATGCAAAGTGGAAGTGGATCTAGTTTGCAAATTTTACGGTGAGGAGCTAGAACACTCGACCCATATACTGCTCAATTATGTGTTCTCAAAATTACTATGGAAACTCAGTCCGTTGAGGTATGAGCCATTTAGACCGATTCTTTCTTTTAAACTGCGGCTATATGAGTTTGCATCAACAAGTCCAGCTACAGATTGCGTTGACAGTGGCGTGGGGTCTTTGGAAAGCTCGCAATGTACTGATTTTTCAAAATCAATGTTTTACAATTATGTAGGTTACTCAATTGGCTATGAGTTTGCTAACAGAGTTTCATGACAGCAGGTGTCATCAGGATACAACAACTGTGTCTACACTGACTCCCACAAAATCTCATAGTCGACAGGTGCTATAAAAATGGGTAGCTCCGGTCAGAGACTTTATGAAGGATGCTTCGGTGGTGGAGGGGTCAAAATGTGGGTTTGGAATGGTGGTGAGAGACTCCACAGGAGCAGTTCTAGCGTCGGGCTTCAAAAGAGTTAACTATTCATTGTCTCCCCAGTATGCGGAATTAGAAGCAATGTTATTTGCTCTTCAAACAGCTCTCGATCTCAATTTCACTAGGATCGTCCGTAAATTTGATTGCTTGGCCAATATTAAGATCTTGAGAAGTAAAGATGTTCTCTCAATGAGTTGGGAACTAGATTTTTATGGGTTTTTGCTTTATTAGATAACTTTTTGTCTTTCTAATTATCTCATGTCCATAGGAGTAGTAATAAGGTAGCGGATAGTTTAGCAAAGCATGCTATCTCTGCTGTTGATGAGAAGCATATTTGGATTGAGGAAGTACCTCATCCTTTTGATATTCTTGTACAGGTTGAGTTAGCCTTTTCTCTTCCTTGATGAGATTCAATTTTCCACTTGAAAAAAAAAAAAATATTTTACTGAGCAATACGCATAACAAATAAATAATATAGAAAGCCAATGATTAGTTAGCATGACTTGATATAGTTAGCATGGCTTTTAGAACAATAATTTTCATAAATTTTAACTTTTTAATAAGTATTTAATTGATCTATTGCAAGTTGAAATATTTAATAAAATAATTTTAAAAATTATTTAATATGTGTAATTTTAAAAGTGAAAGTGTTTAATGGTTTAAAATAAGAGTTGAGTTTGAAAAAAAAAAATGCTAAATTGTTTTTCTATTTCAAAGTTTTGTTAAAATTAATAGAAAAAACATTTTTAAATAAATTATACATGGCAATCAAATTTATGAAGCAAATTCAACATTGTTTCTATTAAAAAAATAGTAATAAAAAAAAAAAAGAAAGAAATGCAGAGTTGGAACTGCAGGTCCACCCTGAACCATATCTATAGAGCAGCCAGACGCCTTACTTTTCATAGCTTTGAACTTTCAAACAATAATTATCTATTATTATGTAAGAGTAGAGTCAAATACAAAGAATTATTTTCGATCCCTAAAAAAATCGTGGGTCCATAGCCCTTGCAATGAATTTCATACGCTAATGTCAATGAAGGAGGTTTCCTCCATTGACCAGATTGATTGCTAGATTGCTAGCTTGTCTTGCTTCTCTGTTCTTCTCCTTCTCTCTCTCTCTCTCTCTCTCTCTGTTCTAGCTTAGCTTTGTTCCCGTCAAATAATCAAATACTATAAAATGGACCCTTTTGCCCATTTACCCATTTCCTCTTTCTTCTTATTTTTTATTTTCTACTCTTATTTCCTTTTCAAAGATTTCAACTATACACTCCATCTCAAGGTCTTCTCTTCTTCCTATTTTTATATGGGAGAAGGAGTGATTCTTGTGATTAACTAATTATGGGAAATTGTTGTAGGAAACCCGCCAAGTGCACTCATGCTTCTTCTACTAATTTTTCTTCTGCTTCTGGTGGGTCTGCTCTCACTTTTCATTATAATTATTATTTTAAACTGTTTTTGTTTCTTGCTTTATCAAACAAATTAAGTAATGGAGCATGTGTGTGTATATATATATAATGAATGGTTCTTTCTTATTATTATTTAGTTTTATGTCTTCTAAAAGATCAAATTTTCTTTCACAGATGAAATTCCTTTCAAGAGGTAGTTTTTATTTAACTCAATTTCTTATATGTTTGCTCTATTAATAAATAATAGTATTCTCATGATTTGTTCCTGAATTCTGCTCTTTTTTTTTTGCTTCTAATTTTATCCCAAAAGGGAAGAATTTTTTTTCCTTCCGCTGTTTTTGTGTTTTCCAGGAGGAAAAACTCTATTGGGTGTTAAGTTATTGATAACTTTTATCTGCATATGAACATATTGATAGACCATAGCTGCTTTTTTTTGTGTTATTTAGGAAGTAAAAAGTCTCATAATAATGGATTGAAGCAAGATTCTACATCTTCCAATCAAACATCAGTAGCAAGCTCGAACAAATCTTCAATAACAAGCAAAGTTGATGCAAATGTTTCCAGCAATCTCAAGTCCTTTAGCTTTAGTGACTTGAAGAATGCCACCAAGAACTTTCGTTCCGAAACAATGCTGGGAGAGGGCGGTTTCGGGTGTGTTTTCAAAGGATGGCTTGATGAAAACACTTTAGCTCCTACTAAACCAGGAACTGGAATTGTTGTGGCAGTAAAGAGGCTCAAGGCAGAAAGTTGTCAGGGTCACAAGGAGTGGCTTGTATGTGCATTTAGGACTATTATTTGATTTTTTTTTATTTTGTTTTATTTATTTATTATTATTATTTTTTTTTTGCTTTGCAATAGCTCATTTTTGTTCGTTTGTTATCCTTTGAAATTTGGCAGGCAGAGGTAAACTATCTAGGTCAGCTTCGTCATGAAAATCTAGTGAAACTCATTGGCTATTGTGCTGAATCTGATAGTAGACTTCTAGTTTATGAGTTCATGCCAAAGGGAAGTTTGGAGAATCACTTATTCAGAAGTAAGTCAATCTGTTCTTGTAGGATTAATTTCTTCAATTTTTTGTTAAAATTTATGGTAAAATCTTATTTATCATGACATTGTTTTCCATTTTTAACTCCTGTAAATTATGTCTGACAGGAGTACACTAAGATTCAAAAGAGTACTAGAATAAGGGACATCATCTTCATGTTGTTTCATTTGTTCTTTTATAGCTACTAAACATTCAGATTCTTTTGAGATGAAGTGAATTTGATGTGTGAGGTCATTTGGATGATGAGGAGTATTTGATTAAAAGCAGAAAGAGGCAGTTCATGGAAGAAGAATACATGTTATGTGTTATAGATGCAGGAAAACATAGACAAACATTTTGAAAGGGCCTTAAATAGGAACTTTTGATTTTCAATTATTCTGTATGATCAAGTGAACAAAAACTTGAATTTTGTTTGAAGGTTAGTGGGGATCATCGACGCTCTTGAAAATTTATGAAGATAATTTTGGATAAATTTCCTGTTTTTATCAACTCTTGTTTCAAGCAGTTCAAAAGGGAGCCAAAAGAAAGTTATCCTTTTCATTACAAGGTTGTGGGTATTTACGTGTTATAGATGTCTTTGTAAATGAATGAAGTTGCTTCACCGCAGACTTAGGGTTGGACCAATGAGACTGACGTACCCGAGGGTGCTTAATTTGATTAGTGATAGGAAATATTGCATTCTTAACATTTTGCTTTAGGGCTATGTTTCTAGTAAGTCAAATTGGCTCTGTTTTCCCTATATAACAGAAGTTAGGCGCACTTGGTGAAATACATTCAGCAAGAGCTTTCACAAAAATGCTATTTTCCATAATTTTTGTTTTCTTGCATGTGGATAGCATTTTTAAATGAATTTTCAAAGCAGTTTAGTTGTCTTAACAACTATGAACCATTTTAATAACTCATTCAAGTATATTTAAAGGTTGATTGCCATTTTCTTATCTTTTTTTACTTTTGGGGGGTGAGGATGGGAGTGTTTAAAGCCTATCCATCATGCATCTTTATTGTACGAGTGACCACTTATTGATTGTTCTTCCACCTGAATCTACAATGAATTGACATTCTTTCTTTATATATAAAAGGGGATCAACCTATCACCTGGGTTACTCGGATGCGCATTGCCATTGATGTTGCAAGGGGATTGTCCTTCTTACATGGTTTAAATGCCAATGTCATTTATCGAGATTTGAAAGCATCCAATGTTCTACTTGATTCGGTATGTGGAAACCTTAAAATTCTTGATTTATCGATAAATAGAGATATACTTAAAGGTATGAGCTGATGAACTTGTGAAATATTTTTCAGGATTACAATGCGAAGCTTTCAGATTTTGGCCTAGCAAGAGATGGTCCTACTGGAGATAATACTCATGTTTCAACCAGAGTGGTGGGAACTCGGGGTTATGCTGCACCGGAATATGTCGCCACTGGTTAGTAAACTTTCTGTTACATGCGAATTTGTTTTCAATATATATGTTCTAAAATCATTGGAACAACACAAAATAGATCAAAATTTAACAGTTGCCGGCTAATTCTTTGAGAGAAAATTTGAAAATTGCATGTTGCAAAATGTTGTGCTATCTATTTAATAGTACATTTCCAATCATAGAAGCTGCCAATGATGCTGCAAGAGACATGTGACCTGTACAGGTGTCCCTCAATCTTCCTTTTTTTTTACCCTTTACAGTTGGAACAGAAACACCTCCGGTCTTCTAGTTTATTTGCTTCAGAAAAATATACTTATCGATTCAAAGGATAGTTGGCAGCATTTGTTTTCCCTTTGGAACTGCTCCGCATCTTCTTCTTCCCCTTTTCTCATCTCATTTATTTTTGGGTGTGGGAAATTTATTACTTGAGAAGTGTATGTTTTTTAAGAAGCTCAAAATGAGTGGAAATTGTCAGCACTTGCTTCATCAGTCTATTGTATGCCAGAAACTTATTTGCCGTTATGTTCTTTCTTTTTATCCTTTGATTGAGAAGTTGGACATATGATCATCACTTGGAGAAAGATTATTATTTGTACACACAAAAAAAAAGTTGCCGGCTAATTCCTATTGAGAGAAAATTTGAAATTGCATGTATTGCAAAATGTTGGTGCTATCTAACTTTAAATAGTAACATTTCCCAATCAATATACAGCTGCCAATGATGCTGCAAGAAGACATGTGATTACCTGTACAGGTGTCCCTCCAATCTTCCTCTTTTTTTTAGAACCCTTTACAGTTGGAACACAGAAACACTCCGGTCTTCTGAGTTTTATTTGACTTCAAGAAAATAATTATTATTCGATTCAAGGGCGGCGGAACTAGTTGCGCAGCATTTGTGTTGTTCCCTTTGAGAAGACTGTGCCTGCATCTTCCTTCTTGCCCTTTTCTCATCTTCATTTTTATTTTTCGAGGTGGTGGGAAATTTTATTATCTTGAGAAGTGTAAATGAGATTTTTTAAGGAGCTCAAAATGAGTGGAAATTGTCAGCACTTGGGCTGTCATCATTCCCTATTGTATGCCAGGAAACTTATTTGCCGCTTATGTCTCTTATCTTTTTTATCCTTTTGATTGAGAAGTGACATAGATGAGATCATCATTAGGATTGCGAAAGATTATTATTTGTAAGCACACAAAAATAAAAATAACAGAAAAAAAAAAGAAAATATATATATACTATATATAATCATATAATATAAATTATATAATACAATAAACAAAGATGGTCTTTTTAAAATATATATATAATACAATAAACAAATGATGGTCTTTTAAATAAAATAAATAAATTTAACCAAGAACTAGTCATCTTAAATTAACCTCTTATTCCTGTCAGTTTATGAGGAGAAATATGATTGAAATTTTTATATTATTAGCTGTTCTTCATCCATAGATTTGCATTTTAATGCAAGTTAAATCAAATCAAAGAATGCAAAATATGCATTCAGACATATTTAACAGCATTCTCCTTTTCTTGGGTTAAACCAAACAGGTCACTTGACTCCAAAGAGCGATGTGTATAGCTTTGGCGTTGTCTTGCTAGAATTACTGTCAGGAAGAAGGGCAATGGATGATGAAAGAACCAATTTTGTTGACGAAACTCTAGTGGACTGGGCAAAACCTTTCTTAAGTGACAGCAGGCGAGTTCTGAGAATCATGGACACTAGATTGGGTGGTCAGTACTCGAAGAAAGGAGCCCAAGCTGCAGCCTCACTTGCATTGCAATGCCTGCATATAGACCCCAGAAATAGGCCCTCAATGATTGAAGTTTTAACTGCCTTAGAAAAACTTAACATATCAAAGGATGTGCCAAGAACACCCCCTTCTGCTAAGCTGGATAATCACAATATCAAGAATATTAATAGCCCTCGCCAGAGTAATAGAGTAACCACCAATTTGGTATGACCAATTTTTGCTTGTGTGCTTGTGCATTATTCATGTTACTCATAGCTAGTGTTGGGTACTGAAGCTGGTTGAAGCTACTGCGTGCAAAAATGCGACATCCACATAATTGTGAGATCAGTTTCCCAGATGATGATAAAAGGTTCTTTTAGCATCAAATGAATGTTTGTATATAATCTCAAATGAATGTTTGTATATAATCTCTCAACTTTTTGAAGATCGTGGCTTAGTATCAGTTTAGTAGTTCTTGTTTGTTAGGAGAATGTTGTTACTGTTATTGTAAAAATCTGTATAAGATTGCATTCTCTCTTTGTTATAGAATGGAGGAAAAATATAAAAAACAACTTCAGCAGAGTTGGGTGGTGAGCAGCAATTGCCATTCCAAAGAGTCTCCTTCCTATTCTTCCACAAAGCCAACATTATCATACAAAATAATTTCACATCTATTAACTGATGGACTAAAAAGACATTTGTTTTCCATTCTAAAGTTTTTTTAAGTGAAATAACAAATTTAAAATTGAAATTTCATTAATAGTCAGATGAAAAGTATAGTTTTTTAAACTATTATTTTATTTATTTTAAATAAAAACTCAAAATTTCATATTACTGCATAGTTATAGAAAAATAAAATATTTATTTAAACAATGGATGTTTTGGCACGAAATAATTTAATTTTTGAATTTGTTAAATAAAAAAAATATCAGGTTATGCTTAGAAAAATCTCATTTTAAATGTTTTTTTTTATCATTGTAATTTAAATATATTATTATTATTATTATTATTATTATATAGTGGGTAATATTATTTGTGTCTGTAAGTTTCTTAATAAATAAAAAAAAAAAAAATAATTGTTTTTTTATTTTTAATTTTGCGAGAGGAGAAGTGGGAGAAAGCAAAACGCAGTGGAAGTGCTAACATGATATTAGTAGCATAGAGTTTCCGTGAAACCATAAAAGCAGTAGTTATATAGACAGAGAGAAAGTGCCCTAGGATTTGAACCAGAGTGCTACTGCTTACGATCATCTGCCATTCTTTTATTTCCCACATTTCTTCCAACTCTCAACACTCGTGCCTCAATTTTCTGCTTATAATCATGGGTTCAGGTGCTCTATCTGCCTTTTTATTTTTTATTTTTTTATTTATTAATTTTTTTATCGTCTTCAATCAATCATCAGTAGCCATTAACTAGCAAGGGCTTGAACAGGAAATCAGAATTTTGTTTCTCTTAGAAGTTCAATTTGATGTTCAATTTATTTGGGGATGTGCAGATGCTGATATGGAGGATTATGGGTTCGAGTACTCAGACGAGGAGCCTGAGGAGCAGGACGTTGTTATTGAGAATCAGTATTACAACTCCAAAGGTTTTCTTCTTTTAGTTACATACAGATTTGAAAATAGTTATTTTTTTATCAGAAAAATTTCTGAGCTTTATGCTCTGTATCTAAACTAATATCATTGAGCTCTTGTTGGGTAAAATTGTTTGACTATAACTTTAGTTGTAGTGCACTACTTGGCTACTAACCCAATGGCTATTCTTAATTTTCCTATTAACCCAAAGGATGAAGAACTAGTAGTCTACCTATACTGAGCAAATATCTTAGGGTTTTGCTTTTTGTCAGTTGCAATCTCATGAGTTAATGCATATGGATTTTGATTTCTTTTGAAGATTATTAAGAAACTGGTTCTCTAAGAACAAAATTCTTTTGTATGAAACCCGTTAAAGTGCTTATGAAATGATTTAACGTATTGAAAGCATGAATTATGTGTTTTTGCATAGTAATTCTTAGACATGTACAAGTTACTATGATTGTATTGCTTTTCTATGTAATTGTCATATCCTTATTTGATAGCTTTTGCGTAATCTTTACTATCTTTCATTCAGTTAATTTGTGTTCCATGATTTGTATCTTATGATTAACAATGTTCATTTGTGGTAAATAGGTATTATGAATTTTTTAGAACTTTTTGTTGGGAAATCTGTTTTTTTATGACGCTCTGTCTGTGCACTAATCTTTGCAAATATACCAGTTGATTCTTTATATACTATATTAATTTATCTTCACTGGTTTTCTTTCCTTCTCTTTGCCAAAAAAAGGATTGGTTGAAACAGACCCAGAAGGAGCACTTGCAGGTTTTGCACAAGTTGTTAGCATGGAACCAGAGAAGGCAGAATGGTGAGCACCATAGAACTAACATTTATTGTGATGTTCTTGCACTGTTAGAATCCATGTTTGTTGTCCATTTGAGAATGTTGTTTTCAATTTTACTTTTGTTCCTCTTCAAATTTCATTTTTCAATGTGATATGTAATTACATAGAGACTAGATGGTTAGAAGAGGCCACTTATCAAAATTATGAATTTCCTTTGGGAGCGACCTTAGGTAATACAAATGCATCATTGGCTTCACTTTTAATAATGAGAAGTTATAAATCTTGTTGCAGCCTAATTAGAGTAGTTGCTTTAGGAAAACTAGTTTATGATTCTAATGGTTTTAAAGAACATCCTTAGTGCTTGAACACCTCTTTGGAATACTTTTAGAACATGTTGAAGTCATCTATCAAACTATTACAGTATTACTTTGTGTTAGAAAACTTGTATTATTTAGGTCTTTTGCCTGGTCAAATCAAATTTGCCTATTTGGACAAACTTGAGTAAGTAGGAAAATCTCAAATCCTTAAATTGCATCATTATGATTGAGTTACACTATTTTGCTGGTTTATGGTATCACCTTTGTTGATTCGTTCACTCTTTGTTGGAGAAACTTAACCTTGATCATTAAAATGCTTGGGTAGCCGAATCTATTAGCGGAAGAGTCTAGGGAATTATTTTCATCAATTAGGGCTATAATAGGACGATTCTTGTTGGAACAATATAAAATAATTGGATTTAAAGAAAACCTTAGAATTAAAAATCTGAATTGAAAGAGAAAAAAACACAATATGCAAAATGGCTATCGCTGTCCAATTTATACTAATTAGGACAAATCCTTATGCTAGACTGAAACCTATTCCTAAGTAATTAACATACTTTATTAAATAGTAATCGTAAATAAAGAAGGCAATTTAAAATTGTCCTTGACTAATTAACATACTTCATTAAATAGGAATCCTAAATGAAGAAAGATAACTGAAAACTAAAAAAAACTGAAATCCTAATTAAACTTGGATGCTCCTGCATTATTCTCCTTGGGTCAGAAAAAAACTCAGCTCCAATGATCAAGCCTTAACATATTTCTCATATATGGCTGGATTTATTTGTTTTAGCTCTTCGTCAGAAATCCCCATACTTTCATCTATTGGTTAACCAATAAATTTACGAGTACCTTCTACATTGGTTGCCTTGCCTACATCGAACTTCCTTAACATCTAACACTTTTTCAATAACATCAAACTTTGCAACTAGCCACTGCCCAACTTGTTGGATAACTCTTCTTCAAACTCAGCTAAATTCACCCTCCATTGTGGACAGGTGAATGCAATATGTTCATTCTCTCTATAAGTAAACATTGAACCTAAGAATTGCTGCCTCCTTTAGCTGTGTATGAACTAGAATAATTTTTTCCACTATAAGGCACTATATTTTTTGTTTTACCATTCCTTTCAACATTTGTTGCATCCCTTTCCAATTTGTTGGCTTGCTTGATGCCCACGTGCAACTCCCAAATTGTTTTTTGCAATTGGTTCTGTATATGGGTTTTCTTGCACCGTAACTTGAAGTCACTTTTCAGCCACTGATGCATATTGAAGAGCATCCTCAATATTGCGTAAACAAACTACTTCCACCTTGTATGTAATAGACTAATTCAAATCAGTAATTAAACTCGGCAGTGTACTCCTTGGACATGTTGTTTTGCTTCAAACAATGGAACTTCGCATACAATTCCATTGTATAATTAGCAGGCAAAAATTGCTTTTGTAGCTTAACTTTCGAGTGCTTCTGACTGATGATTTTAAGCTTACTTGTGCATGTTGCTCCTCTACTCTCTTCCGCCATTGAAGTGCAATACCTTTAAACTTAAGCTTTACGAATAGCACCTTTAGATTTTTAGCCATGGTTTTCAATTCAAAGCAATTCTGCAGACTAGCTTCCCAATCCAAATATTCCACTCATAACTTTCCATGAAAACTAGGTACTTCAATCTTCCCTCCTCCACCATTCAAATCAAGAGTATGTAGCAATTGCTATTCCAATCCAACTTTCCTGCTTGATATGCAGATCCAGCTTCATGACATGGGTTTGCATCCTCAGCTTCCTCTTCAGTCTCAAGATCTTCTTTCAATCATTCGTTGCATCTCAGTCAACTCCATTTGTTGGGGCTGATTGCCTCTACCTCAATCTCCGCTTCTACCAACCATAGTTTATACCAGAAAAATGAAATCCCAGTGTAATTTAGAATCTTATGAGCTCTAACACCAGTAAATGTGGTGGAAGAGTTTAGGCAATTAGTTCCCAACTATTAGGGCTAGGCTAGAATGATTGTGGGTGGGACAATATAAAATAATTGGGTTTAAGGAAAAACATAGAATTAAAATTCTGAACTGAAAGAGAAAAAACCGAAAACTATTCCTAATTAATTAAGTAAGAAACTATATTAAATAGGCTTATTTTCACCTGTCGTGCCTGAACTATACCTTATATTTCTTAATTGTCTCTATGCTTTAATTCATCACTTAAAAATATATCAACTTTGATTAGTGTAACACAAAAATCTATTTACCAGTTTCCAGGTTGACAACCGGTAAATTTGCTGATGTGGAAACATTTTTAACATAATAAATGAAAAAAATTTCACATCAAACTAGGGAAAGGTGAATCTTTTTTTTCTTTCCCATGACATTCTTTTGTTCTTTCCTTTTCCACTGTCCAAATTGTACTTTTTTGTCCTTTTCATCTTTATATGCTTTTATCCATGATTTAACAAATAAACTTTAACTTCTCATCACTTGCTTGATTTTTCTTCAACAACTCTATCTTTCTTACTATCAATTTTTTCTAGAAACTAGAAAACATATTTGGAAAAATTAAAAGGCTTATCAATGGCAGTATCAGTTTGTGAGTTTTGGGGTTGGGTTGAGATGTGGAAGAAGACAACAAAATTTGGAATACTAAATGAGTGGACAGATCGCTATCAGAGTTCCAATAATTAGAGAAAGAAAAAAAATAATAAAAAAGAGTGAAAGGGGTTGTACATGGACAGGGGAGAGAGCTACGATATCCAAGCCAAAAAGAATGAAATACTCTACTCCATTGCACAATAACAAATCACCTCTTTCTTCCTTTCTTCCTTCCTGGGATTTTCCTACCTCAATTTGACCATTCCTTTCTTTCTTTCTTTCTCTCGCTTTGCTTCTTTATAAAACTTTGTCTTTCTCTCTCCTTTTATTTCTCCAAACAATTTAAGAGGAATTTTATTTTTCCAGGATCTCTATGACGATGGAACTGGTAACAGTTGAAGTCTCAGGAATCAAAAATTGCAGTTTGGTGTTTCATTCCATTCATACAAAGAAGGGATAGAGGAAAGTGTGGGATAGAGGAGAGAGAAAAATAGAATTAAAATTGGGAGAGAAAAATATTAGAATAATCTGATGTGGCATTTTTGGGACAATTATTTGCTGACCGGTAAATTCCATGTCAGCTTCTCACTGGGAGTTGACCGGAAAACTGGCAAATAGACATTTATGTTCCTCAAATAATTGTTAAGGTACTTTTAAGTGACGAATTAAAGTTTAGGGATAATTAAGAAATAGAGGGTATAATTGAGGCACGAAGGGTGAAAATAAGCCGATTAAATAGGAATCCTAAAATAAAGAAGGAAAACCAAAAAACTAAAACATTGAAATACTAATTTAACTTGGATGCTCCTGCATCATTGCTTCTTTTATTAATTTCTTAATTTATATCATAACAATTATAGTTGAATGATCCCTTAAAAATCATTTGCCAACTTGTTGAAAATTATAGTCTAGATCTCTTGAAAGCTATATAGAGGCAGCAGCACAAACTCAGCATGTTTAGCATACTGAACAATGAAGATACACTCATCTGTCAGCATGATTTTCTTTGTTCTGCTTCCAACTTAATTTCTGCAATTTCAATATGATTTGCAATTAGAAATTTCATTTCTTTGACCTCATGCTTTATCAAAATATCTTTTGTAGTTTCTTTTTTTTGAAGTTTAATTGGCTGAATGTTTTTCTTTTGCTACTGTTTTCTTTGTCAACTCCATAGGGATGAGAGTAGATGCTGCCGATGTTCTTAAGGAATCATATTCATATAGAATTGATAGATTTCATTTGCAATTCCATCTGCAATAACCTCAGATGAGTCTTCAAGTAGCAAGCCGGTTAATAAGGCTGCCTAATAGCCTGATTATAAGCTCGTTTATTAGCTGATTTCTTTTCAAACAGCATGATTACTTGCCTTTGTTCCTTCTATTGGTTTCTGCAATTCATTACATTCTTTTGTTGCCACACACTTGTTGCTTTGGCTCCTTTGGATGTAATCGGTGTAGCTATTGGTTCCTGATTTCACTAATCTGCAACTTTTGCTTCTGCTGTGGTCCTTTGTGGTAATTGTTTCTATCCTCTCTGTTTCTGGGTTTTGTATTAGCCAAACTAGATTCTGCCATTGCCGTTTTGGCCTCTTGTAGTTTGGGTTCTTCTACCTTTTTGTTTTAACCTTTCTGTTTGCAGTGGTACTGGTTTTGCTTCCTACTTTAGCTTTTCAAGTTCTCTATGTAAAATCACAGGATTTGTCTTTAGGATCTTATTCAGATAAAAGGGGGAAACAAAGAGGCATGTATTTTCTCTTCTAAGTCATATTTAGACTATAAAGCCAAGGCCAAACTGAGAAGGATATGTGTAACATTTGTGGGAATCATGTTATACCAAATGTACTCATTAAAAGCACTATAAGGGAAAGAAACTAGAGAAATCATCAACTACTGACGGCAAGGGTTTTATGTGCTGTTCTCTTGCATTCCTAGGGTAATAGGCATCACATATAGGGTTAGGATGCTTCACACAAGCCCAATGACAGCACACCAGAAAATATTTGAAAACAGTTCCCTCCATCCATTTTTATCTGTTGCTTTTTAGAAGTTGTTTGTCCAAAATTATTTGTTGCCTTGAGAAGCTTAAGGAGTATTAATTATTTTTTTTCCAATTTTACCCTTATCTCCACTAAACACAATAGTTTTTTACAATTTTCTAAAACCATCTTAGTATATCCACATTTTTCTCTCTTGATTTTAGTTATAGATTAATGGAGAGAGAATTATTGAGATTGAAGTAATTAGGTGGGATAAAGGGTAATTTAGTCAAATTAAGAAATATTCTGTTATAATTTAGGTGATATAAAATTGCTTAATCACTGTGCAAAAGCCAAAAGTGAAAGATAAAAATGGAAAGAGGAGTATTAGTAAGATGCATGTAATTGCTAGTGCTTATATAAGCTTGGACTCCTAAATGTAAAATATAAAACTTGCCACTTTGACAGGGCTACTTCGATGAAATCATATGCCAAATACTAATATCGAAATTTGAAATGTCAAAATAAGCTGTGGCTTATAATAAGATGCGGAGATAATGCGCCAAGATGGTTATGCTGAAAATGAGAAATTAAGGCACTTTCTTGTTTTCATATCTATGGAAAATCTAACAGATACGTACACCTTTGAGTTTCCAGTCCATTGCAATAATAAATTAATAATGCCCTAGTAAAATACACTGTTGTCTTGATTTCAGTTCTCATACTTGGGAAGTCAGTTAGTAGTATAATCTTTTTCTAGCTGGTAGAAAACTGTCTGACTTGGCAAGGTGTCGATGAATTTGTGTATTTTCATTTAACATCCTGGTTGAGTTTTATTATTATGGCATTATGGATGAATAGGATAATAGATGCTCCTTTCCATGTAACAGCAAAGTGGTGTTTGGATATATTTTGGAGTGATCTATGCAAGTGCTCGTTTTCACATAATAATAGTAGTTTAATAATTTGCATTTCAAAATTTACTTTTGATAGAGTGAATAGGGGTTTGCCTGAAGTGGAGAGATGTAAAAAGGATCTAAAGACAGGCATTTATATTCCTTTCTATTTGGTCATGTTTTGTTATGCTCTTTGCTGTTTGAAAAATATGATGTGATTGGAGAGATGTAGTTTAGTAGTTTAGTAGTTTTACTCTTGCATGTTCGGAACCTTTTGGCATATAGTTGTTTATTCTTTTCAAGCCATTGTTTTCATAATCAGATACTTGCTCCTATTCTTACCAGGGGGTTCAAAGCACTGAAGCAAACAGTTAAGCTTTATTATCGTTTGGGGAAGTATAAAGAAATGATGGATGCTTACAGGGAGATGGTTACATACATTAAATCAGCAGTCACACGTAACTACAGTGAGAAATGTATAAACAACATCATGGATTTTGTTTCTGGATCAGCTAGTCAAAACTTTGGTCTTCTGCAAGAATTTTATCAAACTACCCTGGAGGCCCTGGAAGAAGCAAAGAATGAGGTAATATTTTAATAAATATTTTGTGATGCCTTTTATGTGAGGATGTTTACATAGTTCTCTCCTGTGCAGAGACTTTGGTTCAAGACAAATCTTAAGCTCTGCAAGATATGGTTTGACATGGGTGAATATGGGCGGATGAGCAAGGTACTTTATCACAATTGCTTGACCTTGCTATATTTTTCATCTTTTTTAATAATTATTTGGGAGAATAAATTGCATGCTCAGATTCTGAAGGAACTCCATAAATCTTGTCAACGAGAAGACGGAACAGATGACCAAAAGAAAGGCAGTCAACTTCTGGAGGTATATGCAATTGAGATTCAAATGTACACTGAGACCAAGAACAACAAAAAGCTAAAGGTAAGGATTTCCACTGTTTACTTTGTGCATACACTCATGTATCGAGATGATGTATCATATTATCCTGTACTACAATCCGATCTCCAAAAGAATTCATTTCCAAAAACAAAACTATGTTTAAGGATGTTAAATGATTGACTAATTTTGAATCCGAACTCTTTAAAATATTGTCATGTTCAAATTACAACCTGATCATACACTCACTTGATATAGAACCTGAAATTTTGTAAATAGGCTTAGAGGGTAGGGGATTTATGACCTAATCATCTGCTACTATCAAATAATTTGCCATGTGATTGTTGAAATTAACTAAACTAGACAGATTAAGTAGAGAAAAAGTCCTCAGCCTATGTGGTTGCATAGGTTGGGGAAGGTTTTCTATTTTAAGTTTTGGATAGCTTGCCAGCTATTTGATTTGTCCATTGTGCGTAGTATGCAAAATTGTTATGCCTAGTGCCTCCCAAGGACAGGAAACAGGGTAGCGGCTGTGTCAGTCTTAAGAACAGAATGCATGCAGGCATTAAGCTTTAGCATACATATGCTTTGTTTCTTGAGTCTCTATTTATGTTATTGGATTTAATTGAAGGCTTGAAATATAATGATGTGTGTCTCTGTTTTGACTCACCAGCAATTATACCAAAAAGCACTTGCGATCAAGTCAGCAATTCCACATCCACGAATAATGGGGATAATTCGAGAATGTGGTGGGAAGATGCATATGGCAGAGCGTCAATGGGCTGAGGCTGCAACAGATTTCTTTGAAGCTTTCAAGAACTATGATGAGGCTGGGAACCAAAGACGCATACAATGCCTAAAGTATGTTTCCTATTTCTTTTCATTTCTTTCTTCTATTTACAAACACACAAACATAAAGTAAGGCTTTTATGTATTACCTGAAATGTGTAAGAGATTAATATCAGGTACTAGGATTATTAGAAACATAACCCTGCCTTTGAATAAACCCTACATCCAGGATCGTATCATTCTATTTACATACTAAATTCGTGGCATTTGGACAACAGTATGGACTATGGAGTAATTGGACATTAGATTGAGATTTTTAATTTTATAAGCTTTAAAAAAGAAGTTTCAATTAGGATTTATGTTCTATTCAAGATGGTTTATCTGGCTGTAGGATTCTTCATTGCTGAGAACTTTCAATGAACTGTTTCAGTATGATCTAACTATGTTAATCATTGTGGCTGACAGATATCTGGTCCTGGCAAACATGCTGATGGAATCTGAAGTGAATCCATTTGATGGTCAAGAGGCAAAGCCGTAAGTATTTGTATGCATCACCATGAGATATGCTTCCTTTGTGTCTTTTGCACCTCTCTTATGATATTTGCCCTTCAGATATAAAAATGACCCTGAGATTTTGGCAATGACGAACCTTATAGCAGCATATCAACGAAATGAAATACTAGAATTTGAGAAAATCCTGAAGGTATGGTTAATGTATTTTGGAGGAATGTTATAACTGTTGGTTGTTTCTCTGCATGTGCTTAATTTTAAGTTGGACATTTCAGAGTAACAGAAGGACAATTATGGATGATCCATTCATACGGAATTATATTGAAGATCTCTTGAAGAATGTCAGAACTCAAGTACTCCTCAAGCTTATTAAACCTTATACAAGAATTCGGATACCATTCATATCAAAGGTGAAGGACACTGTTTCTTTCTAACTATTGTATCAATTCTTTCAATGACGCTGTTATCTTATTTTTATTAGGAAGATCATCTCTGAAATATTGTGAATATGGTTGACTTGCAGGAACTCAATGTGCCAGAAAAAGATGTCGAGCAGCTGTTGGTTTCATTGATATTGGATAATCGCATTGATGGACATATTGACCAAGTGAACAGGCTTTTGGAGCGTGGAGACAGGTATCCTATCCTTGATCTACCCTTTTTTTTTTTTTTTTTTTTTCAGAAAAAGATGTCGAGCAAGCTGTTGGTTTCATTTTGATATTGGATAATCGCCTTTGATGGACCATATTGACCAAGTGAACAGCGGCTTGGAGCGTGGAAGACGGTATCCTATCCTTGATCTACCCTTTTTTTTTTTTTTTTTCCCTTTTTTTTTTTTTTTTTTTCTGTTTGGTATCAGTTCTCTGATTTGTTGATGCTGATATGAATGTCGTTAGCACTTGCTATTTCTGCAGCCATCATGATCATTATCATTGTAAAATGTCATGCAGGTCAAAGGGAATGAAAAAGTATACTGCCATCGATAAATGGAATACACAACTTAGATCACTTTATCAAACTGTCGGTAACCGTGTGTTCTAAGATTTTGTTTATGTCACGATTTCCATCTGGTAGAGGTACTTCTCAGTATTTTGGTAGGAACTTTTCCTCTCTCGTGTGGAACAAAAAGGCTTTTTTTTTAAAAAATTTGAGATTATAAATTGGTATTTCATAAAATATTTATTTTATATTTAAATAAAAAAAAATGCCTATTCAACTATTCCCTCCCTGTTTCATTATTTCATTAACAAGAATCAAGCTTTAATAAAAGAAGTCCAGAGTAGTTATTCTCCATAAATGTTAATAGGCAAATGTCCTAATATATATTTTTGTTTCTCTATTTTTTAAAAATAATAGTTATGTCTTTTAACCTTTTACCATTGTCAGGTCCTTTAATCTAGAAAGTTAGTTTTTACTGATGATTAAAATGCAAAGACTAAAATGACCTTTTTAAACTTAAATCATTTAAAATATGGTAAAATTTATCTGGGTCTCTAAATCATACCATAATTAAAATTTTCTTATCTAACTATGATGTCTTTAATTTTTGCTGTCGTTCCACTGTCAGATCCTTCAATTTACAAATTAGGTTATTATAGTTATTTTTCGAAAATAAAAAAAAGATGAAAATATTAATTATGATATAATTGAGATATACTTTAACCGAAGTTTAATCAACAAGTAATTGTAGGGTCTGAAGTTGGTTTGATTTGGCTAAAATTAATTGCAATTTACCTTTCATTTTCGACATCTTCAGTTGATTAGGTCGACAGGTGTTCCTTCTTTTCATACATTGGCCCAACTTTGTTTAGATGTTATTATTATTTTAAGCTAGTTTCATTTCAAGAAACATTTTGTGGCACCCTTAACACTTTTATAATGATTATTTAAAAATTCTACTTATAAAACTACATCTGTTAAATATTTTAATTTAATCCATTAAATACTTGAACTTGTAATTTGTTAAATTATATCGGTGAAACTCTTATTGCATAGTTAAAAATTGAGAAAATTATTATTCTAAGAGATGCATTAACTACATAGTAAATTAATATTTTGTATAGAAAAGTCAAACTTTAAAAATTATTGATGTTAGTATGACCATGTATGTACAAAAATTAAGTTGGAAAATGTTACAGTATCAATTTTAAAATTTGAATTCGTTACAAGTGTTTTTTTTTTAATCAAAATTCTGAGATTAAATTATGTGTTCATCAACTAATAGATGTATGGCCATTGCCAAAAGTAATATCATATTGCTTTAGGATCAAACGGTAATCCAACAGAAAGAAATATAAACAACTAAGAAGATAAAGAAGGAGATATGTAAATTAAAAGGCGAACAAAATCTATAAAAGGAATTTACAAAATTTAATAGTTAATTTGCTCTCTCCCCCTCTCTCTTCCTCATTCTCCAAAGCCTAAAACTTTTCCTCTCTTCTTCCACAGGCGGCTATTGGTGAGTTCTCATTAGTGGTTACTCCTTTCCTTTTTTGTGTTTAGTTTTTTTTCAAATAATCCTTAAATTTGTTTTCAAATTTGGGTTATAGTCACTTATATATTGAGATTTGTTCTCATATCTAATTTTGAGTTATTGTTATCACCATTATGGTGATTTTCTCTAGCGTATTTTATTATTTGGATAGTTATACAGGAAGAAGTGTAGATCTCCTCTCTAATAAAAGGAAGGAATTTGAAAGTAATCAGATCAGACTTAGAAAGACAATGAAGTCGAACAGTGGCTGTGAATAGCCACTAAGTGGAGCAAGCGATTGCTTATGGCATAAATATTATACTTTGTCAACTCGATAAGATATTTCAAATGAAGATTTGTGGTTTTTTTTTTTTTTTTTTTTAAATGAAGATTTGTGGTTTTTTTTTTTTTTTTTTTTTATAACTGGTTTATTATTAGACTTTCTACAACAAAAATATAGAAACATATTAATCTATATTCGTATAACAGTTTTCAATTAATGAAATTCTAATTTGGATTTTTTCTCAAAAAAAAATCTATAAAAGGAATATAAACAAAATAAGCCATCTGGTCATTTATAGAATCTGGTCATTGACATTAATATTAACATGTCATTAAAAATAAAAATATTTTATTTTTTAAAGTCATCTTTCTCTTAATAATTAATTTGGAATCTATATATCAATTTAATTTAATAAATAATATGTACTTATTAAATAACATTTATAAATAACAAACAAAAGAAATAACATTTATAAATGACACTGTGCGATTCAGATAAGCTCCTGAACTTCCTTCTCTGAGAAGTTACAGTAGATAAGCTCTGCTTCCTTCTCTGCAGAGTTACAGTAGTAATTTTGCAGTTTTGATAATAATTGAATATACAGTAACATGTATAAAAATGTACCTACATCTAGTTACTGAGTTTCGCAGTTAGGAAGTCATGTATTATAATTTATCATGTAAAAGTTATTAGTTTGCTATTCAATTAACCTGTAGAATTTTCTAATTAACTCTCTAAAAGTAATGGATCAGTTTGCCCATATTATGGATAACGTTAATAATATAAAAAGATAGGTCCGAGCTATGAATTATTTAAAATGTGAAAGTTGGGCCAAAGATTTAAATTGACTATATGACTTAATAACATCATATTATGGGCTTATTGTTCTTATAATTGGTTTAAGAAATTGGATTCCTGTAAGTTAGGATTACTACAGGTCTCGGAGCCTTAAATTTACCTGGGCCCTAGTACCAGTCCGGCCTACGGTTTTGGATCGTGACATTAGATCACTTAAGATACTTTTTTTAAAGTCTAAAGTTGAAACTTATTACTCATTTAAAATAATTATCCAATTTATATTTGAATTTTTTATAATTTTAATTTTAAATTGGATAGTTTAATTTTATTTTTATTTTCATTTATTTATAATGATTATCTTTTTTTTTTTTTCTACATATCTTCATCACATCATTCTTGATCAATAAAAGATATTTGCAAGTGAAATATTTGTATTTGGTGAAATAGTTTTATCCATTTTTAGTATAATAAAATATTTGGTAAAATAATTTTATTCATCACCACCATTATATTTGAAGATGATCAATTTAATTTTTCAGCAATAACTATGTGGTACAACTATCATTTATTATTCAAAATATTTATTTTATGTTTTAATTTCAAAAAAAAACAAAATAAATAAACTTGAATTTTCTTTTATTGGCAGTTGCAAAAAGATTTAAATGAATTTTTAATATTTAGTATGTCATAATTTAAAATAAAAATTTCAATTAAATTCTACAAAATTATATTTGGAATAAATTATTAAATAAAATTCATTTATCTTTATTTCCTAACATATCCTTAACATAATAATTTAACAAAAGCAAATAACAAAGATAATAATAGTGCCCGCTAAAGTGTATGGAAAAATTATTAGTAATTTATTTTCATAATAATAATATTATAATTAAAATTAAATATTATGTGATTAAAAGTAAGGTTTTAATATATGATCATTTATTAATAATAAACTTATCCAGTTTAATCAATATATTAATTCCGTGCCATTTGTTAATTCTTTTACATGGCGTAAAGTATTGTTTTTAACCTTTTTTTTTTTTTAATGTTATCTTGCACTTTTTTTTTCTTATCATTATGCCAAGTAAAGTAATGTTTTCAGTTCTCTAAGCTTTTTTGTAAATAATAAATTATGAGTGATGATTGTATTTACATTTTTTTTAGAAAAAATTAAATTTTAAATCGATTTATAGAGTTTTGGTAAAATTAATAAGTTAAATAAGCAAAAAGAAATGAAAAATTCACTTTGTAGAAAAAGAAGAGTAACTTTTTCACGAAAAATTAATTATTTAATTTTGTGAAATTCATTTAAAAATTTTATCTATTTTTATAGTATTTGGTTTAGTTATGTTCAGTGCTATGAAATTGAATTTATAAAATTGAAATTTACATTTTTTTTCCATTTCAAACAAAAAAAAAATTCAAAATGAATTCCAGAAAAATTTGGTAGAATTGGTTTTTTCCAAATAAGGGATTAGTGACAAATTAGGGGGTCAAATTACAAATCCTTATATATTTATTGAAAAAATGTATACCCAATCCAATCAAATCAAACAGTACTAATTCGGTACGAATACATACTCCTTTGCTCACCAATTATGTATACAATTTCAAGAATATGAAAAAGAAAAATACTAAATTTTGTGGTCCCACGAAAGTTCAGCTAACTTTCGGACCACAATTGTTCCCACGTGGAACACAGGAAACTTAAACCAATGATGTAAATGGATTGGAATCTTAAAGGTATCACTTAATTCTCCTGATGATAAAATGGAATCCACGTTTGCATTTTTTACTCTTCTTTTAAAAAATAAAATTAATACCTAATAAACTTTATGGTCATTTAATTGTTGAAATATTATAAAATGATGGGTTGAAAAGTTGAATTCTAATATTTTATTAAAATTTTTTTAGCATATAAAACTTCTATAAAAAAGGATGTTTTAAATTATATTTTATTATAATAATTACTAGCTCTCTCTTTCTCTCTTTTCTCTTTAATTTTCTAATCCTAAATTTTAGTTTTCTAATCCTAAGTCAGCATGCAAAGATGATATAATATAGTTTTCCTTTATTTTATATTTAATTAATTTTTTAATAAATTATACAATCCGATATTAACTTAATCTTAAATGTTTTATATTGAAAAATCAGCAGTTAAATTAATCCAAAATACTAAATCCAATCTTTTTATCGTTTGAAACAAATTCATCAGATAAATTGATCCAAAATTTTAAATATGATATTTGTAATCATTTTAAACAAATTTAAAGATTAAATTGGCCGAAAATGTAAAATCCGACCTTTTTAATTGCACTAAATAAATTCGGGAACTAAATTAATCTTTATTCCTAAACTTTTTACATATCAGCATCCTCATTTCTCTCTTGCCAACAATGCAAAAACCAATACCATCCCTCATTACAAAATTTAAAACCACCATTAATACTTTTTATTTAATATTCTCAAATCCTTCAATTGTTTCTCTTCCCATATCACAATGGTCATTGATGGATTAGATGGTGTTGTCCAAAACCACTAATTAGGGTAGCAAGATATCTCCATCACCATAAAGACTCGACGACTTATAAAAACGACTCAACGTATCATATTTATATTGTTAAAGAAGCAGATTCTATGATGTAAGAAAAGAAGACCTTAAAAGCCATTTTTTGAAGATCGAGCTTAAAAATAATGATGTTGGAAGATTTTATAGATTTAGATTTGATGATGGTGGTAGTAATTTTAGATTTTGTAGAGAGAGATAGTTGCACTAATGGTAGTGGTGATGATTTTTGCATTGTTGGCAGGAGAGAGAAATGAGAATACTGACGTGTAAAATCTTTTAATATAAATAAAAGCCACATGGCTTTCCTGTTGCTGAAATTCTATTAAGTGGCTCAACGGGATTTTATTGTTATACAGATAATAATTCAGAAACTTTTATTTTGCTAATTAAATTCCAAGTACGACAATGTGAAAGGGATTACTAATTCAAGAATAATGGGTGAAAATAAATCTGAAGTTTGGGGGTGCTACATATTTCTCCATTAATATTTAATATTTTTAAACTTTTCTGTGAATGTTAGGGTGTGACAAGTTTTTAAAAGGACAAAATTATTGAAAATTTCTTTTATTGTTTTATTCAAAAAATGGTTAGAGCCCGTTTGGAATAAATGAATTTCACAAAATTGAATTCATTTGGAAATCCAAAATTTTGTGTTTGGAATGAAAAAAATATATATTGTATTCTATAAAATTAGGTATGCTAACTCAAATTCTACTAAAATTGATGGAATTTGTAAACAAATTCTACAAAATTGAACCATTGAAATTTTTTTGGTAAAATTACCCTTTATTATAAACTCAATTATTTTTACTTTTTTTCTTTTATCTTTTTTGGGAAATTCAAAGCCAGTAATAACATTACTTTTTTCTTTTAGATCTAGTAATAACTAAGGTTATATTGTTATTTCTTTTTTCCTTTGTATTTTTATTTTTTAAATTCCAAACTAGTAATAAAATTATTTTTTTTATTTTTGAACTATGAAATTATAAAAATCTGAGTATCAACGATTGTTTTCAAATGCAATTAAAAACAGTAGTAACATTCTTAATATTTTTTATTTTTCAATTAATTACTTAAATTAATAAAACTTTTTACATCAATTAGAAATAATTATTATGATGAATGTTATTGCTTATATAATTAATTAATAATGTTATTGCTTATATAATTAATTAATTAAGATGAATATTATTTATATTTTAATAAAAAATGACAAATTATTATATTGTATATAATAAATATAATTGGTGTTTGTGATTTATTATTGTTAAATTATTATGTCAAGGTCATTATAAGAAATAAAGACAAATAAATTTTTATTTAAGAATTTACTCCAAAGATAATTTTGTAAAATTCAATTAAATTTCTTGTTTTAAATTATGACATACCAAATATGAGAAACTCATTTATAAACGAATTCTACTTAGAATTCATATGCAAATAAATTATACATTCATGATTCATTTGTTCTAAATATAGTGTGAAGGTTAATTTCTAGATTATCCATGAACAAAAGATTTCAATTGTTTATACCTGTATTTTTTTTTTTTTTATATCTATTGGAATAAGTTGAATACATAAATTCATCCTTAAACTTTATAACTTTAATCTTGTGGCACTCTGAACTTTACGAATAACCTATCGTGCACTTGAACTTGTCAATTTTTGTAATATCACACACTTTTCGACACTAAAATTAATAATTTTTAGTATTTTTTTCTTTTATCTGTAAAATATTGACTTAATATATAGTTAGTATGACTTTTGAAAAAATAATTTTCATGAATTTTAACTTTTTAATAAGTGTGTAATCAATCTAATTTTGCAAGTCAGAATGTTCAATAAAATAATCTTTAAAATTAAAGTGTTTAATATGTGTAATTGCATAAATTAAAGTGTTTGGTAGATAAAAATAAAAATTGAGGGTGTTACAAAATTAAAATGACAAAATTTAAGGTGAATTTATATATTCGGACCGTTGGAATACTATGATGTACTCATACCTTACTCTTTAGTAATAAGTTGCAATTTTCTCAAAAGCATACTTAAAATACAGTAAGATTAAAAAAAAAAAAAGCATAATTAAATCACCTAAAGGCTCTAATATTTAATAGATAAGCAGCAATCTGAATCTAAACTTGTGTTTTCCTCCATTAATTACTACCAACGTTTTCATTAAGATTCAATTAACGATTAAATATCTTAAGTTTAGCTCATCCATGTGTATTACGTATCAACAGAATATTCTTATAATTCACATAATTCAAAGTTGATTAGTGTGTACGTATTCTTGTTATTTTAATCAGTATTCGTTTATGAGACTTAAATTTAAAATTAGAGTGTCTAACAAATTGGGAATAAAATAATGGTTTATTCCCAATCTGTTTATTATTATTATAATAGTATTTTTATTTTATTTAATGGTAGTAAAAAATACATTAACTATTATTACAACTGTAAAATTTTAAGGATAAAACACATTTCACGTACACCTTGTTTTAACTTATTTACTATTTTAGCTTCCTTGCTTTTATTATTGTAATGCTAAATCGGATTCATATAATTTCTGGCATTTCATATTAATTCAAATTCATCGACTTTCAAAAATAAAATTTACGGGTACTATTGATCGTTAATTTGTTCGAAGGATCAGTCTCCACAGGTTGTTGACACTTAAATAACAACACCACATACACAAAGGTTTATGGATTTTTTTTTTTCCATTTTTTCTTTTTTTTAAAAAGTACACATATGAACATACGGACTGTGACTCGGTTGGCAACGCGGGTTGAACATGTAGAAAGAACTTTCAAGTTCAATCCCTACTAAACACACTGCGGGGAGGGACAAAAAGTCTTAACTGTGACTAAATCCCGAGCCAAATTAAGCGATCTCTGCTTTTAAATAATAAAATTCCAAAGAATTAAAACATACTTATCTTTTCTCTCTAGTTTTAATACTTCTCTTTTCTCTATAGTTTTAGTTTGGAATTGCAGTTCTTTATTAGCGGTAAATAGCAATAGCTCTCTACCTCCTAATTTTTAGGATCTCTTACCCTTCGCTTTTTTTTTGTCTTTATAATCTTTATGAAAATACTACTTTAACGGTGGTGCTTTAATGTGAAATAAAATTGGTTTTATAGTAAAATTAAATAAAATATTTATAATTTTAAAAAGAACAATTTAGATATTTTACTATCTATTTTTAAAAAATTAATGTATTTTGGTCATTACTCTCTCAAATTCGCTAAGAGGGAGTCTAAATTATTAAAGTTAACTAGATTTATTGGTATATATACATTAAATAATATAAGCAAAATAATATACAAGATAAATCAGCAGATGCATCTTTAAGATTTGAGAATAAAATTTTATTTTCATTTACTAAGATTTTATTTGCAGTTAATCTCTCATCTTTCTAATCTTGTTAATAAAATTTTACAGAGAAATGCATCCATAAGATCACAGTTCGTGGATTTGAACATTGTTTTTCCTTCTCCAAGAAATAAATCAGTAGATGCAGACTGAATATTCCCACATTACATTTTTCGATTCTTTTTGCCGTTTCCATGAAACGAAAATAACATTTCACAGAAACGGAAAATCTGCGTTAGCATAAACAGAAGCTGCAGTAATAGGACGGATAGTTTAGCAGTAGAAAGATAATAAAGTAGGTAAAGCTTTTGTCAGTTTGCGGTGAAGGAAAAGGAAGAGGAAAGGAAGGTTATGAATTTATGATTCCATCATTATTTTTTTGTTATTTAATTATTATATTTATATTTATTATGAACGCCATGAACAACAATCTGTTACCCAAATTCTAAATCTGCCTTTTCATCATACTCAAGAGCCATAACACGCCAGCCTTTCTTCTTATCTTCTCTCTCTCAAGTATATCCTCTTTCCTTTATCTTTCTCTCTATTTAATCATTTGGGTTTTTTCTGTTTTCTTACGCAAATTTTTTATTAATTCCCTTATTCAATAATTATCCAGATACACGTTTATATATTCTTGTTGAATTTTGCTTTGAACGTTGTCTTTTGACTGTTTTGCTGACACTTTTTCATTCCCTGTCATCATCATCATCTTCTTCTTCTTCTTGTTCTCTCTTTGGTGCTTTGATATTCAAAATTTTTGGACTTCGAAAGTTACTCTTGTTGCTTTTCTTGGTTAGTTCTCTTAAATTTTGATTTGGGTTATTTTTTGAGGTGGGTTTTTGTTTAATTGAAGAAAATTCTAAATTTTGCCATGTTCTTCAGGTCCATCAACTAGAACTTCTGTTGTAACTTCCCTTGTAAAATCTTTCTTCTTCTTCTTTTCTATCTTATTGGAGATAGTAATGGGTTTTGAGAAAGAGATTCTTCCTAGTACTGTGTTAAATTCAGTCCTAATATATATTATTGTTAACTATAAAATATTTATTTAGGGGTTGGTAGCCAGCAATTTTGAATTACTGTCGTCTTTTTGCTATAAAGCTGCTTCAAATTCAAATTCAAATTCTGTTGGCATATTGGTGATTGGACTTGAGGTTAATTCAATTCTTATATCTCTGTCTTTTTTTTGTTCTCTTTTTCCTCCTTTTTTCTATCTCAATTTTTGTATGGATGATTCAGAATGTTAGTATGTTTCCACCCTTCAAAATTCCATCTTTGATTATTGTCTTGTTTTGGATATATAGGATGTTAGGACGTGTTATATTTCCTTTCAATTTTCATCTTGCATTCTTGTCTGATTTTGAATGTAATGTGATGCTTTGATCTGTTTCTTAATTGTTGAAATGTCAATTATGCAGGTTTTCCTTTGCTGGCAATAGGGTCATTATAGTGTTAAACAGACATATTTGCTTCTAATTGTGTTATTATTGTGGATCATTTGAGCATAATGTTCATTTGTGTGTGATCTGTTACTAAGAGGTCTTTGTAATGGTAATATCCTAAGGGACTGGAGTTGGTTGTTTATTTGAAAGATTACCATTGTTGTAATTTTCATATTCCTCTGTTAGAAGCCTTGAGAACATTATCAGATCCCATGAAAATCTTGAACAGCTTCTGTTTATGAAGCTGTCAATGAGGACATGGTTAAAAAGTTATATGTTTGAGAAAATTTTGTGGCAGTTATCTGGAACTTATGCTCTCATTTATTCCAGGAAGAGTGTTGAGAAGTTCAGAACCGTGAGGATAAGTGAATCAATTTATAAATCAAGTATGAGCCAACCTAAAATCAAGCGCAGAGTGGGTAAATATGAAGTGGGAAGGACAATTGGTGAGGGAACATTTGCCAAAGTAAAGTTTGCGAGGAACTCTGAAACAGGAGAACCTGTGGCTCTGAAGATTCTTGACAAAGAGAAGGTTCTTAAACACAAGATGGCTGAACAGGTCCGGTTAGTTGTTTCTGCTTTTTATAATGATTCTGTGTTGCATGCTTTACTGTGTCTTTGCCTGTCTTGTTTCTTCATTGAAGGAATTAATGTTACTGCCCTTGTCCTGCGATTCCTCTGTGTAGTATCATTCATTGTTTGCAATGACTCATTTGTCGTAACAGCACCCCTGGTGTTCCAAGGGGCTTCCATTTTTCCTTAATATGTTCTATTACTGGAAAAATTGTGCCAAGCTATTAGCAAAAGAAATTACTCCATATTTAAATTGCATGAAGTATCTTACTTGTTTGAGCATACTTTTGCAGATAAAGCGAGAGGTAGCAACTATGAAGCTTATAAAGCATCCAAATGTTGTTCAACTATATGAGGTATCTCTCCCCGTCTCTCTATCATTTCCTTTAGACTTTAGTCTTTCTCTATTATTTGCATGTATCTTTTTCTCTTACATCTTCCTTTGCCATATGTTGGCAACATCAGATTTTTCTGGTTCTTTTCATACATGCATTTTGCAAGAAACCACTGATGTTAACTAAGATATCCACTGCGCCTAGGTTTAGTGTGTATTTAAGGAGTGGAAGAAGGATTATTAGCATAGATAACAAGGCCTGAAAATTTAACCCTTTGAATTTCCTAGGACAAAATATTAATTTTCTTACACCTTCTTACTAATTTTGGTCCTTGTATATAAGGTTGTATTTTAACGTCTTTAGCAATTTTTGTTTGCAGTTGATTTCAATCAAAAACAAATTTGGCATTTCTGTGCTATGAGTTTGACAAATAATTGTGGTTGATGTGTCCAAAGTTAATATTTCATGAAACCGACTGATAATAAATTCATTTGGTTGGTGAATTCTTTATTAAATGATTACTTTTCTTTTTCAGGTGATGGGAAGCAAGACAAAGATATTTATTGTCTTAGAATTTGTTACAGGAGGGGAGCTTTTTGACAAAATCGTAAGTACTGTATTTTTATGAACTGTTTTTGTCTGCCTTTCAGTTTTAGTTGGCTGGACGTTTGTGAAAAATTTAAGAGGATACTCATTTGGTTCGATTACAAGCACTTGGAACCTGCCATTTTATCGCAGATGCATATCTGTTCACTGTTTGCTACTATTGAAAATTGTCCTCCTAGGATAGTCATTATTTATTTCATTGATATCACTGTTACAATGTTGCTAGGATCCACTGTTTGAAATGGTTGGATGTTTCTTTTTCTTTTGTAAGTCTCAGTCTATCTGTCTTTGCATGACCATGTTTTCGCTATGAAGGTAAACCATGGACGGATGAGAGAAGATGAAGCTCGGAGATATTTCCAGCAGCTTATTAATGCAGTTGATTACTGCCACAGTAGGGGTGTCTTCCACAGGGACCTCAAGGTACTCTCAACTTCTATAAAGCTGTAAATGAGTAAATGATAAATTTGCTATTCTTTTATGAGATGCAGCTTTGACAGATGAAACTAATTTAAAAAAAGAGAAAAATCATTGTCTTCATCTTTTTCCTCTGCAGCCTGAAAATTTGCTGTTGGATGCTTATGGGAACCTTAAAGTCTCTGATTTTGGATTGAGTGCATTGTCCCAACAAGTCAGGGTAATTATTATGCGGTTTTGTTTCTTAAGCTTAATTTATCATGGACATCATGTCCTGACAAACTCTACTAAACATCAGACCAATATCTTGTATAAAATGAATTTGATAAATAGGCTTGGTTATCATGGAAGGATAGCCAACAAAATACGAAAAAGAAATATAATTTCCCTTTGCAAAATCGGCTTCATTTAGCAATTGATCCTATGATAAAGTTTGCCTTAGACAATATTTGCTTGTATTATGAGTTTTAAATGCCTTTCTTTTTTACTCTCTCTCCCTTTCTCTCTCTGCTTGTCATTGTAGATGAGATTTCTTTTAATGAGAATGGAGAGATTGGTTCATGTGAGTTAAAAAGAAGAATTATAAAGGATATGTGTTTCTGCCCACATGTTATATCAATAGGGAAGAGATCCTCTGCATACTTGTTTGTGCAATGACCTAAAAGGAACTCTCGCTGGCACTTCTGGGTAATGGCCCTATTGCATTGCAAGTGACATTAGAGTTCGCTGAGCCCTCTGTGTGCAAGTATATGGTGGTTGTGTTCTCAGTTGTTTTGGGTAGGATGAGCATAATTTGGTTATGTTTGACCAATTGAACAAACCTAATTTGTTTTTTTTTTTTTTTTTTTTTTTACTCTCTCTCCCTTTCTCTCTCTGGCCTTGTCATTTGTAGATGAGATTCTTTTAATGAGAAATGGAGAGATTTGGTTCGTGTGAGTTAAAAAAGAAGAATATAAAAGGATATGTGTTTGCTGCCCACATGTTATATTCAATAGGGAAGAGATCCTCTGCATACTTGGTTTGTGCAATGGACCTACAAAGAACTCTCGCTGCGCACTTCTTGGGTAATGCCCTTATTGCATTTGCAAAAGTGACATTAGATGTTCGCTGAAGCCCTTTCTTTGTGCAAGTATATTGGTGGTTGTTGTCTCAGTTGTTTTTGGGTAAGGGCGGATGAGGCATAAAAATTTGGTTATGTTGACCAATTGAAACAAAACCTAATTTGTTTTTTTTTTTTTTTTTTTTTTTTAGTTTTTGTTCAGTTAGGTAACTTTGGTTTTGTTTCTTAAAAAAATATAAATAAAAAAAGATTTTTCTACTAATAATTTTATTAAATTAAAATTGTGATAATTATTTTTTGTCTAGTTATTGTTAATTTTATCAATTGTGTTTTTTTTTTTTTTTTTTTTTTTAGTTTTGTTCAGTTAGTACTTTGGTTTTGTTTCTTAAAAAAATATAAATAAAAAAAGATTTTTCTACTAATAATATAAATTAAAATTGTGATAATTATTTTATGTGTATTGTTAATTTATCAATTTGTGATTAGATTTTTATTGTAAAAAGAATAATTGAATAACTGAGCAGAAATATGTTGGTTTAATTGTTCAAACGGTTTATCACAAATTACCAACACATTTTTGTCTTAAATGGTTTCCCTCTTTTCCTATGTGCTTACTATACACAAGCTCTCATTAGTAAGATCATGATGTTTTGTTATTAAAACTCATTATGAAATCCCTGGTTAATGCCTATACATGATTTCTACGTATATGCCATTTTGGTGAGGATAATAGGACATGCAAAGGGAGCAATTTCAGCCAGTACTTTTGGGTGATGGGTTAACAGTACTTAGAGATGATACTTGTTGTGTTACAGTATCAGAGGCGTGATGGGAAAGCATTGTTACGGAATTGGAGGAATACATACTTTTTTGGGAGACTCGAATAGTATGGCGAGGTATAGCAGAATGGCAAAGAAACATATAGTTCTTGCTTGCTTGGAATATTTAGGTGAAGGATAACCAATAGCGTTAGAGATAAAGGTTTCCTTTGAGGCAAGGAAGAAAGATAAAGAGAGAGCGAGGTGTAGATAATATTTAAGTACAAGGTAACAAATTGAGCTGAAAAAACTCCCAAATTAGGAGCTGAAATGCGGTATTCGTGGCGAGAAGAGCAGTTTACCCCAATTTAGTAAGTTGGTGATTTAAGTAACTGTCAGTAAAGACACAAAAAAAAAATTGTCACGTGTCTTAAACAGCACATGGTTGACATTTCACCCTACTAATGAAGGTAAAAAAAAGATGAGCACTCCATAATGGGTCTCACAGGTCTTGCAAACGAAACTTTCTGGTCCAACTCAGTAATCTATAATTAATTCTGAAGCCTCATTAATAACCTGAGGATCAATCAATGAGAAGACAAATATGCATTTCTACTTTTTTTTTCTTGATCTGATTGAGCTGAATGAATTATTAGACAAGTCCTTATAATCAAGTCATCATATTTATCAAAATAATATTGGAGTACTTCAAAATATTAAGGAAACAATAAGTTAAAGTTGAATGATCATTGAATCAATGACTTGCGTGTCTCATCATAAATGGAAATAATAATGATAATCACTAATTGCAATAACTGTGATTAAAATGATTTATATGCCTGCATTAAACAGTCACAGATCCTTGAAGATTGTTTTTAACAGAAATAAAATTTGGTATGTGATCTACCTGATGGTTCTTAAGCAGGAAGAATTGTTTCTTACTCCTAAGCATATTTGGCAGGATGATGGCTTGCTTCATACTACTTGTGGAACTCCAAATTATGTTGCTCCTGAGGTTAGTAAAACTGGTTTTATGCCAAATTTCTTCTGTCATTACCTTTTTAACCTGTGGCCTTTTACTACCTGCTTTATACTCAGGTTCTTAATGATAGAGGTTATGATGGGGCAACTGCAGACTTGTGGTCATGCGGTGTGATACTCTTTGTACTGCTTGCAGGTTACTTGCCTTTCGATGATTCTAATCTTATGAACCTGTATAAAAAAGTGAGCATTATTACAAACTCTAGCAGAAGCTTTCTTTTATTGTTCTCTGTCATCTGGTTTTTTCACTTTCGCTTCTGCTTATGCAGATTTCAGCAGCAGAGTTCACTTGTCCCCCTTGGCTCTCTTTTGGTGCCATGAAGTTAATCACTAGAATTTTGGATCCCAACCCTATGACAGTAAGTAATTTTATTTTTCATTATATACTTTCCATGAGTTTCTGATTTTAATATTGATCTCTCTTAGAAAAGGTGTTCAAAGGAAAACTCCTGGTTGATTATTAATTACAGTAAATAATAACTCTGATTTTCAAAAAGCAAGAGAAGTATTACTGTTTTGCATTTTCTTGGATGTTATTGAAATTGAATAGAAATGAAGCTCATAATTCATGTATGAGACTGATGTTAGTGAAAACGGTGGAATGTGTCTCAGAATAAGCTTGTTCATGCTCATTTTTAGTGGCAGATGAGAAATACATACTCTTAATTCTTCTGTGGGTTAGATCTCTACATGTTCAAACATTGCTATTGAGTAGATGATGAAATGCTTGTCATATATGATGCTAGGAAGTCCATTTATAGGAATCAGACACTTTGAGAAATTAGAAAAATTGAAGTCTTTCTGTGGTTTAATTAATCTCCAATCTACCAGAGGGTTTTGTGAGGTAGCAAATGAGAATGCTAAAATTGTTACGCAACTGGACATAGGATGCTTCACCGACAATCAGATCCTACTGTGATTTCCTCAACCAAAATCCACCAAAAAGTGCTGAGTGGGCTAAATTTTATCTGTTATAATCCATCCTTTCTTCCCCTCTAAAAACTCAAGTAATCTTTGAGAGCATTATATTTTGCAGGGATGAACCTGTGATGCCTTACATTGCCTATTTAATTTGTCTCCAGATGTATGTGTATTGCCAATGCAGTTGCTGTATCAAGTGGTTATATGCTTCTCTTTTTGAAGTGCTTGCCACAAGTTTTAGCTTTCGATGCTCTTGTTAGACTAAAATATCACCTATTAAAATTTTATATTGATTTATTGTTATATGTTTAGTGATTTGTCTGATTCTTTTCATTTGGTTACCTTTCTAATTTTTAGTATTTTTTTTTTGGCAGCGCATCACTATAACTGAAATCTTGGAAGATGAATGGTTTAAAAAAGATTATAAGCCCCCTGTGTTTGAGGAAAAAGAACACACAAGCTTGGATGATGTTGAAGCTGTTTTCAAGGACTCAGAGGTAAGTTCTATAAATAAAACTATTGTGTACAATCTGGAGAACTTGCTGCAATTGTTTTGCTGTACTTGACGATGGTATTTTTTGAAGTTTACTTCATTGACATTACTGCAGGAACACCATGTAACAGAGAAGAAGGAAGAACAGCCAACAGCTATGAATGCATTTGAGTTAATTTCTATGTCAAAAGGGTTAAATCTCGGGAATTTGTTTGATGCAGAACAGGTTTGCATTTGAGAGGCTTTTCTGTATTGCACCTTGAAACTGCTATATTTGAGATGATTCTATGTGCGTTAACTCGTGCATTCATGCAAAGTGAAGGGTGTTAGTTCATTGAACATCCCTTCTTGGTTCTCAATATGTAAGAGTTGATGCTAACATTTCATTCCATTGGGTAAATTTAATGTGGAAAAAATATTTTCTTCTATTTGATTCATCAATAGGGACACATATATATACACATACAAGATACTATAAACCTATTAGGAATCTAGCTTTTCTGTATTGCACCCTTTGGAAAACTGCTATATTGAGATGATTTTCGTATGTGCGTTAACTCGTGCATTCATGCAAAGTAGAAGGGTGTTTAGTTCATTGAAACATCCTTCTTGGTTCTTAATATGTAAGAGTTGATGGCTAACATTTCATTCCATTGGGGTAAATTTTAATGTGGGAGGGAAAAATATTTTCTTCTATTTGCATTCATCAAATAGGGCCACATATTATAATACCACATAAAGATACTATAAACCTAATTAGGAATCTAAAACTTCCTTGAGGTGATTTCCTATTACAACTAATCCTAACACATTGCAAGCTGGTTAAGGCTTTTGGTGTTTCAGGAGTCTTGTGTGTATGGCAGATATTGTATGCTTCTGCCTTGGTGTTGTTTTCTTCTTTTTTTTTTTTTGTTTTTTTTTTTTTTTTTTTTTTTTTTTTTTTTTTTTTTTTTTTTTTTTTTTTTTTTTTTTTTTGTATTTCAAGGAGAGGTTGAAACACTAAAATCAAGAGGAAAGGAAATGGAAATACATCCATGCATGTGAATATGAAGGGGATGTTTGAAACAAACCAGGATCTCTTCTTATTAAAAAAATAATAGATATACAAAAATTAGGATCTCTTGTTGCTATTGGACACTATGTCCTCTTGTCAATTCATTGAAGGTGTGATAACAAAGAATTGTTCCTTTTAATCTAGTGTAAATGTTCTATTGTGGCGAGAAAATCTGTTGTATGTTGCAATGCAACCCCATGAACTATGTGATTGACAAGAAAATTTTTTGTTGAAATGGTATCTATTTTAGGTGATCATCTATTCTGAACTATTCTCAATGTGGCATTGGTTTCCTAAGAAGATATCAATGGCCTTTGTTGAGGTTATCTTTCTTAGGTGGCAGAATGTTTAATTGGTTTATGGCAATAAATTTTTCAGATTCTGTGTTCTGAATCTTGAACCTTGTTTTATTAACTGTTCATATTTGTGATCATGTTGGCTACAGGGATTTAAGAGGGAAACAAGGTTCACATCTAGATGCCCCGCAAATGAGATAATTCATAAGATTGAAGAAGCTGCAAAGCCTCTAGGTTTTGATGTTCACAAGAAAAACTACAAGGTGAACAAAATGTTTACAACATACATTATTTTTATTTATTTGCTGCAAGTATGTATGTACTTGAGTTGATGTTTATTCACTTTCTTTCTCAGATGAGGCTAGAAAATATGAAAGCTGGGAGAAAGGGAAACCTTAATGTTGCCACTGAGGTACATGCAAACGAAGCTTGCTGTTAAGGTCTGGTCAGTAGTCATTTTGCATTAACTCCACATTTTCCTATTTTTCTATCAGGTTTTTCAAGTGGCACCTTCCCTGCATATGGTTGAAGTGCGAAAAGCAAAGGGAGACACTTTGGAATTCCATAAGGTACCATTTCTCTTACTTTTGGAGAGATGAAAACTGAGATGTGATGAGATTTTTGGTTACTTTTGTTTGTTCATTATTTGTTTTCTACATCTTTGAGTGGAAAAAACAATGTAGTTAAGGATCTTGAATAGTGCATGATCATTGGTCAAGGGTATTAGGAATGCCATTGGTTGATTTCTCTTTAAGGATCCTTGCCTGAAATTGGGAATCATTAAGATTGCCTTTCTCATTATTGCGTGAGAGATTTGGATTGGGAATTATAAGGGATGTTACAGGGGAAAGTTTTGGCTAATCAAAATAAGGTTTACACACGTGGAGTAAAGAAAAGTAACTAAATTGATGTTAAAAATAGCAGCAGGAAATGATGGAAATCTGCAGATAAATAGAAGAAGAATAACAGAGAGAGAGAACAATGGGACTGCATGTTCAAACTAAACAATTAAATGGAAATTTTCAATTCCATCATCAAAGTGGTAAAGAAAATGCCAAGGATAACTGAACTACTTATTTGTTGTTTTGATTATTGAACTTTATTTACTGGAATAAGGCTCCAAAGGTATTTTCAGGGTAGGCATTTTTTTAAAAACCATTTCCTAAGAAAACAGAAAGAAGCTGCTGTTAAAGTTTACAAGCTTTTAAGAAAGCTAAACATCATTATCAAGCTTTGGAGTATGAAATTGCACTAACTTAATGCCAAACAAACTCATGACCATGCAGATTAGATGAGTCCTATAATACTCTGAAACAACTATGAAATATGTCTTTTAACTCAGTTTGGTTACATTTTATAGCATCTGTTGATCAAGTTGGCTATGTTTTTGTTTGATGTTTTTCCTCTCCAGTTCTATAAAAACCTTTCAACCTGCCTTGAAGATGTTGTCTGGAAAACTGAAGAAGACATGCAAGAAATGAAGTAAAATAGTGCCCATTTTGAAGTGCAACGATCGCGGTCTTTTTGTTGGTGCTACCTTGCCAAATGTGTCATACTTGTTCCATATCTTCATTCTTTGTCACCCTCCCTCCTTTGCTGGGACCATTTTTCTGTTTCTTCTGTTGTTGTAGAATTAGAGTCATGACTATCACCAATTTCTTTCCATGCGATTATTGTTGGAATGCATGGAAAGTTATCATAGGCTTGTTTGTTTCTCTTCAATTCAACTGGATGCTGTCAATAGTGAAATATTTGGAAAATAAAGGTGTTTGCAAATGTTTCTTTTTTTATTTTTATTATTATTAGTTGTTTATACTGCTTTTATTGGTTATTTGCAAATGCTTACTAGATTTATTTATCCGGAATTTTCTCTGGTTAGGTTAAACCTTATTTTTAAAAATTTTTTAAATATTGTACCTTAATTTGGAAGTTTGGAATTAATTATACATTAAAATCAGATTGGGGAAAACCTCACTAAATTCTTTTAAGATAGATTTGACTAAGTTTAAGTTAGGGTCAAATTAAGTCAAATTTTTTTATGTTCAAATAAAAAATAAATTTTTTACTTTTATATTTTTGAAGTAAAGAAAAAAGAGAAAATTGCAAGACTAATGTGCATAAATGAGGAAAATTTTTCAAACTTTTTGATATTAAACATGTTCAAATTCTATTAATGTTTATGTAGTTAATTTAATCCATCTACAGAAAATTCAAACTTTAATTAAAAGAATTTTTCTTTAATATAAAATTAACCCGTGTGCTATGAAAGTTAAAAATAGATTCTCTGGAAGCATACTTGTTGAATTGGGCAAAAAAATATTTACGGTGCCTAAATAAGATCAACACTACTTAGTTTATACCGAGAGTTTATTGGACAAAATTTACTGTTTTGACAACTGTTAACTGTTTTAATAGCGGTTAGTTGTCAACTCTATTTTGGCAGATGTTAACTGTTTTAGTAGAGAAATTACATGAGTTAACAAAATGTTACCCTCTAACATCTCGTTCACTGCAATATAAATAAACAACTTTTAAATATCGTTAGCATTTTGACTAGTCAACAAGCTATTTAAAAATCAGCTATTTAAAAATCAGTCGCCGAACCCTACAAAAAGGTTAAGGTTTTAAAGTAAAAAATTATCTTTAAAAAAAAAAAAGTCAACACTTGTTTAGATCAAATATAAATAATATGTATCTATATTATTCATGTACATCTTGTGTATTTTAGCAAGTATTTGTAACAGTGAATTATTTTCAAAACATTAACTGAACCAAATCATATTCATATATTTTATTAGTTTAAATATCCTTTCTAGTTTGATTTGATTTAAATTTTCTACAAAATCATTATTATTGTCTGGTTTGTATAAATTTTTAAATCAAACCAAACCTCAATTTATATTTAAAAACTCATAATTCAACTAAAAATGATGAAGAAATATGTTTTAAATATAAATTTTTTACTATCTAAACCTTTGGCCTTATTGTAACTTTTGAAAAATTTTGATTATAGAAATATGGAATTCATAAATTTAATAAATTAGAATAATGCTTCTATGCCCATTCATACTAATTAATATTGAAATTACGTTCCATAATCAAATTTTTTTGCATATGTAAGCTTTTAACATTTGATCAAGTAAATAAATTATCATGATTTAGTATTTTTTTTTCGAATTGTATGATTAATGTTTTTATTATGTGTAGTAATAGTATTTTCATTTGTTACTATACTTTTATATAATTTTTTTATAATTTATATTTTTAATAGAATAAAAAATACTAAAGTTTAAGTAATATTCATTCAATGGAAAAAAGAACGTACATAAGATGGAAGGACTTATTTGTCCGATAATTACAAATCAAAGGGATTAAATATATTTTACAACAGATAAAGATTAATAAGTAAATTTTATCAACTATAGGGAGTAATAGTAATTTTTCCAAAAAAATGAAAATTTATTACTTAAAACGCACTTTCCAAAAAAGTGAAACAGAACGACAGACTGACAGTTGACGCAAATCGACGAGGAAAAGAAATAAACAAGAACAGGGAAAAAGCGCTGCTGATCTGAGTCATTGGAAGCTTCAAATCCGCCCATTTCAATGCTTTTTGAGGTATAAATTTCCAAAATCACTTCAAGTTCAAAGCTCTATGATCAATTTGGCCTTTGAAGCTTTATTACTAACTTTGGAATTGGACTTGGTGGTTTCTGTTTCATATTTCAAGGTTCTTCTTCTTCTTCATGCGTAACAAAGTTGCCAAACGGAGAAGATCATGGTAAAGATTTTTCTTTGACACTTCTCTATAATAATATGACTTTGCTGTTCTCAATCAAAATTGAACTGATTTGCGTGTTTATTGCTGGTTCAGAATTTCTTAGTTGGAGCTTTTAAGCCGCCATGTACTATTTCAATCATTTTTGCTGATGCAAGAACTCGCAAGCAGGTTTCATGCTGAAAATACTTTTGCTTTTTTCCATTTTTTTTCTTTGAATAACTGTAGAATTTTGTATTATCAATCTTAGCATAAATAAGGAATTGGATTCTGATTTGAGAGATAGAATGTATGATTTTTTTTTTTTTAATTTTAATTTTGTTTTCAGAGGAAATGATATTTTTTCTGAACTAGTTGAGAAGCTTATCAGAATTGGAAGGTTTCATGGAATTTGTTCAAGAAAACTACTTAAGTTCGAAAGATCTTTTTTTTTCTTTATGTACTAGAGTGGCAAACATAGTGCAAACTGCTCCTGCAACTAATGATACAATTTGATCACTTCTTTGCAGAGGCCTTTAAGGTCAAATCTTATTCAAGTTTATGCTTACTGTATCTGTTCGTTTCTATAGGTCCCATTGAAGAACGATAATGGCCAAACAATTATGGTTCCTCTCTTTCAAAGTCAAGAAAACATTGTCGGAGAGGTACTTTTCGATATTATTTATTGTTATTTTGAGCTTGTTTGTGAGCTATGAAAGTGTTTTTAATCAACCCTATTATTGGAACCGTGGAATTGATACTTGACATTATTATATTCAGGTTGTTATAGAACCATTACAGGGAAAGAAGCTTGAACATACTGGTGTTACAATCAAGCTGATTGGTCAGATAGGTATGTTGATTTTGCTTCAAATTCCATTGTTCATTTTTTATATTACAAAAGAAGGAATTTTTTTTTTTTTTTTTTTTTTTTTTTTTTTTTTTTTTTTTTTTAGGTATTTGATTTTGCTTCAAATTCCATTGTTCAATTTTTTATATTACAAAAGAAAGGAATTTTTTTTTTTTTTTTTTTTTTTTTTTTTTTTTTTTTTTTTTTTTTTTTTTTCGTTTTTTTTTTTTTTTTTTTTTTTTTTTTTTTTTTTTTTTTTTTCCGATTGAGAAGCATGGAAAGACAAGTGGGAGTGTGTGAATACACAATCATATTGCCTATTTGCAAGAGTTAAAAATTCAAAAGGGATACACTGTTTAAATCCCTCAGGGTTGTTGCATACTTGGTTTGCAGTTGAAAATGAAGTTCTTGAAAGGTTAGAATAAAACTATGGTTGTAGAACACAACTATGGTTGTAGAACCACGTTTTATGCACCTCCATAGAACCTTCTCCCTTTTCCTCTAAAAGAGAGTAATTAGTCAACAAAAACTCTAGCTATGTCATTGGAATCTTTTAGTTTATCTGAATTAAAATTCTTTCTAGTTCATCTTTTAATAAGAAGTATAATATATTATTTATTCATTTTATAGCCTCTACAAGCTGTGAGTGACATATAATAGAATAACATGCCAAGAAAACATTATGAATTACAGCAAACCTTTCTTTGTAAGTTACCATATAATTCACTATTTTCTGTAAGTCTCAATCAAGAAGAATGTATATATTCATGGATCAACTTTTTCCTAAGCATGATAGTTTCACTAATGTAATTTAATTTCATTAATATTAATGGAATACCATACAAGTACCTTCGTTCTTAAGATTTCCTTGAGCTAGACTGTATTTAGAACAAATTGGATACTATCGCTTGTTGCGCATTCATTTGCATGGAGCATTGGAGTAGTTATAATTTGGAATTATTACTTATTGTGTCACATGAATCTGTTGACTCTAGTCCATTGATTTATTATTGTGAAAAGGATACAGTTTAGACCATTACATATATCTTCCGCTCTTTGCAGAATTGTTTTTTGACCGAGGCAACTTCTATGAGTTTACATCTCTTGGTGAGTGGATAAGCATGCCTTTCTCATGAATCTGATAATAAATGAAGTGCTATATTTTATTGTACAGTGCATTATAAAGGTTTTATAGTTTGTCTTTATAGTTTATCTTTAACAAGTTTCATTATATATTACTGATAGGATAATCATTTTGCTGTATGCCTGCTTCAAACTTAAATTTGCATTGTAGTGTGTATATCATTTTTCAAAGGGTTTTCTCAATGAATTAAAAAAAGAAAATTTCTGAATCCCTGGTGTACTAACTCTTGTTATTCATATGCAGTTCGTGAACTTGATATTCCTGGCGAATTGTATGAAAGAAAAACATACCCCTTCGAATTTTCTACAGTTGAAATGCCATATGAGTCTTACAATGGAGTCAACGTGAGGCTTAGGTAGGATATCCTTTTGAACTAAACTAGTTTGGTCATCTAATCGAGAGATTGAGAAATCTAAATGAGAGACTTATCCAGACATCCCTTCCACCTATTTTCACTATAAAACTGGTGTTCAATATGTTCTGGATATTATTTGTGCAGGGTAGAGATTTCCTGGGTTTTGTGAAACCCTTGCAACTTTATTGCTTCCTCTTTCTTTTCCCCTTCTACTCCATGTCTGCTATTCATATATTTAGTTGATTTGCTGAACTCTATTTGTTTTATTCGAAGAAATTTCAGAAATTTTTGTGATTGTCACTAAATGATTTTTTTTTTTTTGGGAATTACAAAAGAGCGTGGCAAAGACAATCATAGCCCCAATATTTTTGGGGCTTTTTTTTGTGATTATTACTTAGGATTCTGCTACTAAGCATGGTTTAGGTTACTATTAGTTTCATAAAGCATGGCTGTTTCGAATTTTGTTATTCTGAGTCCCAAAGTGATGTTCACCTTATGATATTTTTCTAATAAACTGTATAAGGTTTTCCCTCCATTTCATAAAGCCAACTTCTTAATCTCTCTTGCAAATTTGCAGGTATATATTGAAAGTGACAATCAGTCGAAACTATGTCAACAACATCGTACAGTGCCAAGATTTTGTGGTAATACATTATATTATCATTCTTCCAATCATTATAATACTCTTCTAGTTAAGCCGCAGAAATTTTTTTCTTGCACTTCCTCCTTTTGTTCCATTTCCTTCATTTAAGAATAAGATGACTACATATAATATGGATCTGATGTTACAGATTGCATTCAGATGCCAATCAAGCTCGGATAATTCTTGCTTGTGTTCTTTAATATAGTAATTGTGAATTTTTTAGGATGTTGACTTTATAATGAATATATTTAGGAGCATCTTATAGAGTTGAAGGTTTGTAGTCTTTTTGGCTGTTAATGCCTATACTGAGATTCAAGTGCTGTAGCTACTGGAAGCTGTGTGTTTCGGTGTTTTATTTGAAAGGCTTTCATGGTGGTTAAGCAGTTGCAGTATGCAGTGAGTGATGACATATTACATATATGTAAGAATAATTTAAGGAAGAAAATCACAAAATTCCTCACAAGGAACAAAAAAATAACACAAAAATCAAAGGTCAAAACTAATGAAGTAAATGCCCTTCAACGATGCTAAATCTTATCTAAAGATACATATTTGACCTTCCTGAAGCTATTCCCAAGGACGTCAGCAAAACCATTTCATCATGTTGCAGTTGTAGCAGTGACACTGATTCTTGAAGGTCAAATATCACCTATGTATGTTCAAAAAAGTAATAGAAGAAAAAGGATTAGCTCAAATATTGATCTTGCAAATTGACCTTGTGACTCATAATCCTCTAGCATAAATGTTCTGAAGGAAGTCCTAGCTTAATGTTGTTCTTCAAAGGATAATTATGTGAATTTATAGTTTTGATAGTATCGTATAATAGATTGATTTGCTTTGTTATATTTCTGAATCAGGTACACAATTATACGCCGCTTCCATCAATCAATAACAGTATCAAGGTCAGGGGAGTTATATTCTTATGCATTGTTGCTTAGTATGTTTCTTTCATTTGTTACAAACTGCTGGTATTAGCTACCAAAATATGCCAAAAAGATACTCTCTCAATGTTGCAAACTCCTCTCTATGCGATAGTGGCGCAATACAATCCTTCACTTCCTGCTGAATCACATTCTATCTATCCCTGATTAGCATAAATATTTTGCAGACATTAGGTTTCTATAATTTTCAATTACAAGATATCACTTGCGCTGATGTATGCTTCTCTACATAATCATTCGGAACTAGGCCTCTTGACATTTGTCATTGTTGTGTGAAAGGGCATGTCAAGGAACAGAATCCCTTATGTATCTTAATTGTTTCCAATGCATATTTTGTTATTTCGTGAATTGTAGTGATCTTGATGAATTCATTCTGAAAATTAATCCTGTGTGCTTATCTTGGTGCCTCTTTTAGATGGAAGTTGGAATTGAGGATTGCCTGCATATTGAGTTTGAATACGGTAAAAGCAAGTAAGTCTGACATGCATTTAGATGATTTGGCATCACCTGATAAACTAAATTGGAAGAGAGCTTTAGGTCTTCCTTTTGATGTTGAATTTATTCAGGTACCATTTGAAGGACGTTATCATTGGCAAAATATATTTTCTTCTGGTTAGAATTAAGATTAAAAATATGGAGCTTGAGATCAGGCGCCGTGAGTCAACAGGATCAGGGCCTAACACGTATGTTGAGACAGAGACCCTTGCAAAATTTGAGTTGATGGATGGTGCTCCTGTCCGAGGTACATAATTCCATATTGCTTTTTCATTTTTTTCTTTTTCTTTGGCCCTAAGATACTGTCAAGAAATCTAGGTTACACATCTGAGATGTTTGTTTCTTTTAGAGATAGTAACACTAGTGTTCAAACTTTGACCTGATTTTTATTTGAGTCTCAAACTTAATGAGTTGTAATTTTTTGCAAATGATTGCTTAAGTAGATATCTCTTGAGTTTCTCTAATTGTATCTCTGATGTAGACGGATAAAATGTGAAGTTGGACAGAAATAAAATGCATTAATAAGATGCTACTCGAATTAAAATCCTTGATTAAAATTCTCTCCATTTAAGCATTTATGTGATCACATTATGTTTGCTTGCTTGAAAACGGTATGTTCATTATAATTATCACTCTAATGCAAATTTTATGGGGCTCTGCAGGAGAATCAATTCCAATCCGACTGTTTTTGAGCCCATACGAGTTGACACCCACATATCGTAACATCAACAACAAATTCAGTGTGAAGTATTATTTGAATCTTGTTCTAGTTGACGAAGAGGACAGACGGTATTTTAAGCAGCAAGAAATCACAGTTTATAGGCTTCTTGAAAATCCATGACATTATGGTTTTGCTTTCTTGAAGTCTATTCGTGTTTGCATGGGATTTCTTCCAGACAAACCTGTTTTTGGCTTCTAAGAAGAACCTTTGAAACGATCGAAACCACTACATTGTTTTATATTTTCCTTAACTGTTAACACCTCATGTTTTATTTTTATTTTTTTATGAATTTTTTTTTATCAATTTGGCCCTTTTCATTCATTCATTCATTCATTCATTTCCTTTGGTCACTGTGTAAAATATGTTAAACAGAATCAGATTTAGTCTAATTTGTTATTTCTGAACATCTATTATTTTGGTAAAACAAAATCCAATTCAGAGTAAAATATGTCCACGAAACTCAATTTCAGATATCAAATCAAATATATTCTGACTATTGCATTCCATTAGGTCCTTGTTCAAACTAGATAAAAATAATCTCAAATGCAGAGCAATTCAAACTTGGTCTAAGCAAAAATATTCAGTTCACTCAATTTAATTACGATAACTAGATCAAAATTTTAATATTTACAAGTGAATTCTATACTTCGAATGAGAGGTCAGAGCATATCAAGAGGTACCAGATATGTGAGTGAATAAATTGCAGCTCAAGATTGCATAAGCCCTTTAAATAAAAAAGGATTTATAAGTAGCAAAAAACAAACGAAGAAAATGTTGCTAGCTTAACATTATCTAAATGATAATGAAGCTAAATATATTAGCTGATTGATTAACCCTCCGATACAAAAGATGTTCAACTTGATGCACCTGTTGATTTCTTATTATTCAATTTGCACATACCAATCCCAAAGTTAATATAAGACTTCTCTGCAAGAATTGATCATATTAATACTCCTGCCTGCACTAAATCACTGTCCATTCGTAATACATGGATCAAACTCAAATGATAGGGTTGGTGGGAGCAGGGAGATCAGTTCCCTGCATGTATTAGAAGAAAAAACATCAGAACTGCATATAAAGATGTATAAAAGGGCTACCCAGGTAAAGATGACTACCAAGGACAACAAGGTCCAAAAATTGAGGAAAGACAAAGCTCTGATGACATCAAATTTACTACATCTATCGGGTTATTTCTTTATCTTTAGATGAATATAAATTTCTTTGAGAGCAAATTAAAAGAAAAATAAGGGGTCAGTTTCAACTTTCAGTTCAGTTCACATGACCTGTTTGTATATGAATACAGGACTTCAGGTAAAATTTAGAAAGCAATCTGCCTACTGGGTGAAGACATCCAACCACAAATTCTAAAATCCATTATCATTAAAATATAAAATTTGGCAGCTGATGGAAATAAGACATTTGGTTAGATTTACCTCCAGAAACATATAGCTATCTAATAGCAGCTCTGGCATCTTGGAGTCTGCAGGAGGTGCAATAGCTAAGATGTGAAGAAATCGGCACACTGCCCGACAACATTCAACTAAAATAAAAAAATATATAACAGGAACGTAATTGACATCAGAATATGATGCACAAATATTTTCAAACGCTTTCAGCATGCATTTTAACTAAATGTTATGGTAAATTGTCTAAAATGTCACGTTTTCAAAAATGTTTTTCAAAAATGTTTCACTAAAATTAGACGCAGGTATACAGCAGTTGATAGTTCAGGCAAAAGAAAACTTACAAAATCCAAGAATGTAAACATTTTCTAACCTGTTACCTTCATTTAACAGGTTCTGATTGACCGTGTGATAGGCTCCTCAATCCTCAATCCTATGATACTCAATTCTATGTTGTATGCGCTACTACAGGAGGACTGCATTCAGCTAATGAGCATACCCTAGATGTTGAAGACAACGATTTTGAGCTACCTTAGATCTTCATGACAACAATTTCATCTGAAGCAAATAAGTCCTCAAATAAGTACTGCAACTTGAAAATAGATTGCTCACCCAAAAACCATGAATAAATGACAGGCTCAAACAAACAAAACAAATAATGACACGATGTCACCTCAGCCATGCACAGGGTCCATATAAGAAGCTGACTACTGCATGGAAACTCCTGATTATATGTCTAAATCAACATAAATACACGTTAAGAAAGGAAAAGCGGATAAATCAACAGGATACCATCAGGACGGGCTTCAAGTTTCTAGGAAAAGAAAGTTAATAACAGGCATCCTGACTCTGAATTACCACAGATTTTTTATGCACTCGGAATCCAGTGTTGTAGTAAAAGTACAAAATAAGTTATTCAGCTTTATCATTTCTATTTTTCAGACCACTCACATTGATCATGTAGTCTCTTGTAACTATAAATTTCAGGGTCACATTTTATCCTAAGCCATTGTGAACAGAAACAATAATAAATTACATACCACTCCTATCTTACAATTGGTTGCTAAAACTTGAAAGAATGAGATATCCATGTAATCAATGAAATTTAGGCATCAAAATATTTCTTGCAAAAATTCGTAGAAAATTCTGAATGTTTTAACATGTAGCTCTTATCCAATGAGTCGTTTGGTACCATCAGTTAGATCAAACCCTCTCCTGAACATCTCATCCACCAATCTCCTAGCCTCATCTGTCTTGCCATGCTTAAAAAGGCCATGTACTAAGATATCATATGTCCACCGGTTAGGCTCATAACCTTTCTGGCATATTCTATAAAATAACTTACAAGCATCTTCCATCTTAATCATGGTTAGCCTTCTCAAAAGCATATTGTAAGTGTAGACATCAAGTGGGAAACACTGTTCAATCACTTCTTCCAAGTTGTCAATTTGTTCATTCAATCTAACGTGGCCAGAAAACGCACCAATCAAATGGCCAAGGACCGAAAGATAGGAATAAGTCTCATATTGCATCTCTCTTGCTCGAATCCAAGCACCATACAGCTTTTCATTTCTGAATGAATGCAACAAAAGAATGTTACCAATGAACGATGTAACATGGCGCCCGGTTTTCAATAAGTCATAAAGAAGACTTATCGCAATATCATATTGTCTTTGTTTGCATAGCAGCTGTATAAGAACCTCATAACATTGTACACTGGGAACTACTCCACTACTCCGCATGTCCCACAGAAAAGACAAAGCATTATTCACGTTGTTGACTTTGCAAAGACCAACAACCATGGAATTGAATAGCTTTTTGTTAATCTCTCCTCTCTTTCCCATAGCATCAAAGAAGTTTAGAGCATCAGATATTCTCTCACTCTTTAAATAACTCTGCAACATTAGAACCTTAGTACTCAGATTAGGCTCAATCCCGTTTATCTGCATCCACTCAAATACTTCTCTGGCTAGTTCAGGCTTCTGTGCATGGCCAGCTCCATCGATGAAAAGGTTACATATCTGATAGTTAGGTTGACCATGAGATATTAGAAGATCAAATAAGTGGCGGAATTGAACTTCTGGGTTTTCCATACCACATAGACCATGAATAACTGATCTTAACAAAGGTCGAGTAGCCATATGACCCTTATCTTGCATTTCTATAAGAAGCCCAGCAACAATATCCAACTTATGTAATTTATTAAAACCATGAATCAAGTTTGAGTAAGTGCTCTTTGTGGCAACTCTATTCATTCTGCTAAATACCCTGTGTATCAAGTAACCATCTTCTAACATCCTCGCCCTGCATAGAGCTGAAATAAACTTATTATACATGGAATCACTCAGCCAAAAATTCCACTCTAGAGCAACAAAAGTCAGCTCTTTCATCGCATCGAGTTTTCCTTCTCTAAACAAAGCATCAACAAGTATAGAAAGCGTTCTGTCACCAGGGAAATAGCCTTGCTGAGTAGAATTCCTGAAAACCTGGTATGCCTCATCGATAGACCCCTCCTTACATAGATAAACAATGAGATAATTACAAGCCACTGAACTAGGTGAGAGCCCAAACTCGGCTTTGCAATTATACAAGTCAAGCGCCACATCCACCATTCCAGCCTTGCAACAGAAACACAATGCAGCATTCATGGTGCCCCTATTAGGAGAAATACCACTCTCCATCATCTCCAACAACAAATCACATGATTCTGCAAGACGGTTCTCTTTCAATAGCCTCCACAACAAGACATTATACCGGAAAACATCTGGAACATAACTTTCTGATGCCTTCTTGAGTTGCATGAATTTCACAGCCTCATCAAGCTTGCCAACTCGAACAAGATTCTTAAGCCACGTACCATAAGCAGGCTCCATAGGCACGGAATCCAACTCCCTGAACTCCTCAATCAACTGCCATCCCTTATCAAAGTTACCTTTTTGACAAAGTGCATCAACAAGAACCTGCACTGCATCTCCAAGGCAATAGCTATTGCCATTTAAGATCACCTGGCGCAAATATGACTCAGCCTCGTTCAACATTTTCTGCTTACAAAGACTTTTAACTACTATAAAATGCGTTACATGGCTTTCGAAACCCCTAAGAGAAATCTGGGAAACAATACTATCAACAGCTTCAAAATAATTCTCCTCTACTAAAGAACTAAGAAGCACATGATAAGTACAGGCGTCCAAGTCAAGACCCTGAAAGCGCATTCTACCAAACATTTGGAGTGCAAAATATGGCTTTCCAGCCAAAGAGTATCCCATCACTAAAGTGCTATGAAATCCAAACAGATCATTGCTAGAAAGCCTAGCCCTCATATAACTATCAAGATAATCAAGCATTACACGCATATGCTTAGATTTTGAAAGGATCTTGAAAACGGCTTGATAAGTGGCGCGCGTGTGATAAAACCCACATTGGTGACCAGCCCAATCGAAGAATTTAAGGGAAGAAAAGATATCACCTTTTAGAAACCCATAGTTAAGAACCTCCAAAACTAATGACTCAGTGACTCGAAGACCCAGTTGAGAAAGAGCAATTTCATCGACCTCATCTTGGCGGCTCAAAATATCGAAAATTAGATCCAATAAACCACTGTTGGGATGCTTGAACCATTTTTTAAAGGATTGAGCAACGTCTTTGGCGTTCAATCCAAATGTTGAATAATCGAAGGTAGTTGGTTGAATTGAAATTGGTTGGGCTGTTGGATAGTAACAGTAGCGACTCAAAGGAGCAAAACAAGAAGTGGGAAAAGGAGGAATAGGAAGATAAGAGGAAGTCTCAGTTATAGAAAAGATTGTAGTTGCGTTGTTGAAGAGAAACTGTGAAGAGAGCAACGCCCTCTTTGATTTGCTTGCTTGTTTTATTGGTAGCATCGGTTTGTTTTCTCTGTGTTATTTTGAAATTTTGAGGGTTTTGGCTCGGCGCTGCTACTTCTCCTTCTCCGCGTCCTCCTATTCCTTCTAAAGACGGGATTCAGCCACCTCGTTTTTTTCTTTCGAAACGATAACACTTTTGCCCGCTCTGGTTGGTTTCCTTTTCTTCTTCTTTTTTTTTTTTTTTTTAACTTTTCTTTCGAAATCGATAACACTTTTGCCCGCTCTGGTTGGTTTCCTTTCTTCTCTCGTTGTTTTTTGTTGCTTTTTTTAACCTTATGTTAGAATATAATTGTAGAAGATAAACAGATAACAGAAGCCTTTAATTTTGAGCTAATTGACCGCTTGATGAGCGGTACATTTCTAAAAAGGCAATTATATAGTTCTTCAACAGTTGCGATTCTTTTTTTTTTTTTTTTTTAACCTTATGTTAATATAATTGTAAAGGATAAAAAATAACAGAATCCCTTAATTTTGAGCTAATTGCCGCTTGAGAGCGTACATTTCTAAAAGGCAATTATATAGTTCTTAAGTTGCGATTCCGTTAACCCGTTGGTCCTTCCGTCCAAAACACATGCTTTTAAGTTTTAACCATTTAATCAACGTGTAACTGTAAAAATACCCTCTACTTTAACTTCACTTACAACCTTCGCTCCCAGCCACATCTACGATGTCGCCCTCAAGTTTAGATTTGACCTCCAATATAACTTCAACCTCCATTTTTTTGCAAGAAGAGGGTTAAATAGGTTTTCATTGTCTCAAAAACCTCTTCCATGGTCTTCGAAACATCAATCTAAAAATAAATTAACAATTATTTCATGAAATCAAATACCATATATTAAAAAAAAATTTAATAGTATACATAAATATATATAAGCTAAATTAACAAATTCAGAATAATATTGCATATCATTGTATCAGAGTATCCTATCATTCACGCGAAATGAGAGTAACTAATGCCTTTCAATTTCCATCTTATTTACCAAATCTTCAAGATTCAGAAGCACATGGAAGGAAGGAGGGAGGGAGTAAGGGAAGGGGGAGAGAGTTTATAATGGAACAAACCTGGTTTCAGAGATCAATTACTATTTGCAGATATTCATCTCTCCTCTGTGGATCAGATTCAGTTTGAATCATATGTCCTACCTTAATTAGAAAGCAGAGGCAAATGTTAGGAAGTTATAATAAAACAAATTTGCAGGGTACATAAGTTAACTAAAACTGGCTCTTTTTCAGCAGTGGCAAGCTGCCGCGGTGGGACTTGGGGTTGTCAGAGAAGATGACATGCACTTGGGGGTGTTTATTGGGATTTTAAAATTTCTCTCTGCTTGGACTCACTTTATAGCAAAGACTAATAAGATAAATAAATTTTTTAGACGGAATAATCAACCTGTTAGACGGATCGAGATATAAGGACTTTATAATTTCTTTTTAAAAATAGAGGTCCTCAAGTGTCAATTAGACCAAAATTTAAGTGCCTTATTATTTTTTCCCTATTGTAAATTTTGTTTTTCTGCCCTAACATGGGTTTATATTTAAAAATATTTGTTCTAATAATATTGATATTTCAAAAATATTGATATTTTTAATAAATATATTAATTCATTAAGAGACTAAATAGACTGGAAAAACATTATAGATTTCACAACAGGGATAGTTCTCTCCAAACTTTCCAAATTGTTAAAAACATTTTGATTTAAATGCCTTGAACTCGAGAATTTTACTCTATATTCTTTCATTCATTTTATCTATCTATCTATCGATACTATATATAAATTTGGGAATTGGAGAGAGGGGGAGAAGAGATGAGAAGGGGAGAATAATGGAAATTCCAATGATGCCCTTAATGAAAGAACAAACTTAGTTATAGCCAATTAGAAAATTATATTTTATTAATTGATTGGATATAATCATTCAAATTATTTTTAAATAAATGCATATAAATAATTAAGTATTTCAAAATTTTAAGTTTTATCTTTTAAAATTTTATTTTTTATTCTTATTAACATAGAAAAATCCTTATTATTTTTTATTTTAAGATTTTAAGTATTCGTATAATTATAATGACGTTTAGGATTTTCTAACCAACATTAAAGCAAAGAATTTTATAACTCGTTTGTACTATTAACTATCATTAATTAAGTCATATATAAAATTAAAATGGTTTATGTGTTAACCATCAAAATTGAGATTTGAGAGTATTCAAGAGTTGGTCCTTGCTTGAAGTAGATTTGGAGTATATATATTGGAGTCAAGATAAATTCTACTAGGATAAAAATTATCAGAATCTTGTATTACATGTTAGTTAGAGTTTATTTAGGATATCTTTTAATATATTTATATATTTTTTATATATTATTTTATTAATATATATTATCATTATGTAATGATGATCTACGTAAAACGTTAAAATTCATATATATTATAGACATATAACTCAATTAATGATAATTAATTGAATATTTTCACATATATTAAAAAATCCAATGTGAAAATTTTTTAATATTTTAATTGAATTAAATTATTTCTAAATTGAATTAATTTCTCCTCTCCTTTTATTTTCAATAAAGGACTCCTAAATCTATAATAATAATTTATAATATGTATAATATATACTGTATATAAATATGAGAATACGGGGATAATAAGATTTTCAATAGTGCTCCTAATAAAATTTGAATATCTTAAAATAATCTTAGACATGACCAATTAAAAAATTATATTTAATTAATTGATTATATATAATTTATTAAATTATTTTAAATAATGAAATTAGATAATTAAGCATTTTAAAATTTTAAGTTTCATCTTTTTTAAATTATGTTTTAATAAATACATATGATAATGATACATTTGACATTTTTATATTTCATTTTTTAAATTTAAATATTTAATTCTTTTTATTATAATTTAAAATTATTTATTTAGGAGAGAGATAAGAAAAGAAAAAATTATTTTTTTCTTTATGTTTGTATAATTAACCTTTTAAATATTTTAATTCCTTTTTATTAAATTTAACAATTATGTATTTTAGGGAGAGTAAGATAAGAAAAGAAAAAAGTGTATTTTTTTCTTTAGCTGTTTTGTCTATCATTTTGATTGGATATATTGTTTAAAACATAACATTTCAATAAAATATATAATTTAGCTTCAAATTTTTGAAACTTGTAACTTTTTAAAATTTATTTTTAAATAAAGATGAAATTGTATCGATATGAGATTAATTAAGGGTCATGATTCACATTAATCTCAGTATGAAATTTTATTTAAACATTATATAGACTTCAATAATGGATCATTAGAGTTACAATTATATCAAATATGTGTTAAATGTTATTCTTTAAATAGAAGAGACAATATGTGTGTGTGTGAGTATGAGAAATAGTTTGAACATTTAAGCTTTTAGAAAGATATCATTTTCTTGTTATATATGTATAATATATTAATTAATATATTAATAGTATTATATTATTTTTTGAAAATACGTACGTAGTAGGTATATTCGAGAATTCGTACATATATATTATAATGGACAGTTTTAGATAAATGCAGATATAATAATGAACGAAAGTGTGTGTATAGTATACTTGGTAGTTTTAGTTATTAACGCAATTATCCTTTCACATTTAATCCTCTATAATGAAATTTTTATTTTAACATTAAAAAGCTAAAATAAGTGTAAGATTAGAATTAGTAAGTCAATATTTAAAATTTTCAATTTTTAAAATAAGAATGGAATATATGTGTGTGTGAGAGATGATGAATCAGTTGAATAATTTTTAATTTACAAATATATATTTTATTATAGTATATATATTTATTATATATATATATAATATAATTATATATATATATATATATGTATTTATCTAGGTGACCCATTGAATAATGTTGTACATATACTAATTTAATGAATTTTAAATGAATGACGATTATAAATTGAACTGAAGTATGGTGTATATCACACTGGTGCTGTTTTAATAACCATACTATATTGACATTATCTCATATTGAAATTTTTATTTAACATTATAAAAATCTAAATAATAATAGATAGAATTATAATCAAATTTTTAAAATTTATTTTTAAATAAAATGAATATATGCGTGTATGAGTTGATGAACAATTGAAAATTTTAATTTTAAAAAAATATATTTTATTGTTATACATGTGTATGTGTATATACATGTATTTATTAGGTAATATTTAGAATTATATGTATACCACTACAAAAAAAAAACGTCTAATTGCGATCGATTTTTGTGACCGACTGAAATCGGTAGCAATTTTGCGACCGATTTGCGACCTATGGACAAACAGTCGCTAATTATAGCGCTAAAAATTCCCACGATTTTTGTTTTCAGTTTGCGACCAGTGTACTATGAATTTGCGACCGATTTGCGACTACGTTTTATTCCGTCGCAACATTGTGCGCTTCAAAATTAGGAATAAGTTCTGAGACCGATTGGCGACCGATTATTTGCGACCACGATTCGGCGATCCGATATTCGATCCGATATTTTGAGTCGCAAAATTTTCAGTCGCAATTGTTTATTGGGAACGTAAAAACGGATCGTCGAGGTTAAATTGTCAATCATATTTAATGAAATTTTGCGGACCGACTAGTCGGTCGCAATTTTAGGGCTTTAAACTGCCAGATGCCCTCCTTCTTCTTTTCTTCTTCTTTCTGTTCTTCTCCTCCTCTCTCCTCTCCTCCGTCGCGGCGCTGCTTCCAGCCTTCCTGACGCCGCTCGCACCAGCCCACCTGACGCCGCAGAGCTCCGGCTCCGGTTTTTTCTTTATTTTGCTGTGATTTTGTCTAACCCTTTTATATGATGACAAAAAGGGGGAGAACAGGTATTTTGGTGATATTTTGAACACTATTGGTGCGTACGTGGCAACCAAAGTACTTATATTGTGGTTATCTGTGTACTAATATTTTCTAATCTGTATGTTTATCGCTTTCTAATATGGTCCATTTTGATGAGCTATATGTTCTATATGATAAGCTGAGTATTTTTAGAAGTTAAATTCTTATTCTAATGACTGTTTTTGCAGGTTGGACATAAGATCCTTTGTTCTATTTCTAATATCAGTTTCTATTTTTTTTGCTCTGACCATATGTTTTGTTTATTAGAACTTAGAAACTTGAAACATCTTGTCACTCTG